TGAATGTTAAAAGTCTTCTAGGTGGCTGTTCTGTCTGTCTGTCTGACTGTGTGTTGGAGACTTCCTGACTGTGATGGTCGTGCTGTGAAGGGGCAAATGTGGGATTACCGACACACATACTCTGGACTTTGAACACCTGGTGCAGAACCGTGGAAGGAGAGGGGCACACACACCGCTGGCACGATGGTAACACACCTCCACCTCACACACACACCTAGACTATTGCAGCCTCTCCTCACTAGGACTTGTCTATCCTCTCCATCTACTGTATATGCTGAGAACAGGTGGCTGGTGCCACCTCAATTGGGGAGGACAGGCTCATAGTAATGACTGGAATAGAATTCATGGAATAGCATTGACACATCAAGCAAATGGTTTCCTTGTGTTTAAAACAATTCCATTGTCATTCCATGTCATTCCAGTCATTATTATGAGCCGTTATGAGCCATCCTCCCCTCAACAGCCTCCTGTGATGGTTTCCTCTCTCTGACAGACTTTCTGAAGAACATGGTCTCATATGTTACGTTGAGGTCACTTGACTCAGCTGTACAGTGAAGTCTCTCACATTATGCCCAGATCCAGGCACTTATCACACTCTGAAGCCTGGCAACAGCTGACTGTGATGTTCAGTGGGTGTTCATCTTATGTCAAGATGATGAATGGAAAATAGATAACTGTTGTGTTCTATCACTCGTGTCAACAACAATCATACAACAAAGTGCTGCAGAACAGGAGGCAGTGGACATCAAGTAGTAGAGACTCTAACTCCTTAAATGGAGAAGATGCTGTCAGTTCCTCTTTTGACTGACAAGCCTTGTTAGTATCCACTCAGGTTATAGTGAGTGTTTCTAGTCAAGAGGGATAGAAGCATTGATTAAATCCTATATCATCACATTTTTGTAAGAGTGTGCTGTACACTATGGAGTAGTTAATAAAACTGCTCTGCTGCTACTACAACCAGTTTTTTTCATAACCAGAGATTGGATTCTCATGACGTTAACAAGACATAGAAAATACATATAGGTACGACAATAGTGATCAAAAGCATTACAAACTGTCCTATCAAATGTGAAAACCAGCAGTAGAGGGGACTATTGTTCCTGAGGAGCTGCGTAAGGTCTAACCCTTGTTCTTCTCTTTTCCTACTAGCACTGAGTTTGCTGATAACTTCTTTATTGAGGAAAAATGTACTTACTACGATATGTGATACAGTATGTTGTTGTCTCACCTAGCTATCTTAAGATGAATGCACTAATGGCAAGTCACTCTGGATAAGAGCGCCTGCCAAATGATTAAATTGTAAATGTAAGGGGGGACTGTTTAAAGAAGTTCTATAGTATTGTCCGGAATGGAAGAGCAACAGTGACGTGTTGAAAAGTCGAGAGGGTTTCACAAGATGTAGTGGTGAAGTGTGAGAGGGGAAGTGCAGCAGCCCTGACAGAGAGACAGAGGGGACTATAGTTTCTATCACAACACTTCCTCTTCACACACACTCCCAAGCACAGAACCTGCTCCTTGCTGGATGCGCGAACACACAAAATATTTTCTAAGATAGCTGAATTGGACAAATTTACATTAAGCTTACAATAAGACTTATTTCATTGATAGATTGATTTTGGATGCCTTGTCATGACTTTTTCTGCAACAGGCTGACTCACTCACAGTAGTCACATTGATGATGGATGGAATACATTACAGTAGTTCTCTCTGAGCACACAAAGCATCTCCCAGGTCTGACACTACACAGCAGAAAGTGGGCTATTTTAACATATCACTGGATCAACAGTCATATCAGCACTTTGCTATTTAAAGCTTTTGGCTTTTGTCCTCCATGTCCACCTTTATATCAGTGCTTCCTCTTCTAATATCATCACACTTGTGTTTATGACTATGGTACAACCAAGGTAAAGAGCTGAGATACTGTAGATGAACTGAAAACTTGCTTTCTTATTCTCTGAGTCTCTGTCTCTCTCTAACCCAATTGCTGTCTTATTGTCGCTCTCTTATTTGAATATTTTGTATAGTTTTAATTTCAAACAAATGGATAATCTGATTTGGTATGTGAAAACAAGGTGTCAGTGCCATGCTGTAGATGTGTGAGAGAGAGCGTCAGAGAGAGAGACCAAAAATATTTGAGCAGTCAGAACCTTGGTCTCACCCAGCTGAGGCCATTTCTGTGTGCTGAGCAGAGAACTGATGGATGTGGTCTGAAATGTGTGACAAACAAACAGCCTTAGTCAGGTTATTCACATGAAAAATGAGCATCATTCTTTACAACAGAGATTCAATTACCAGCCCTCAAGGACTGAAGTACTGCTGGTTTTCTTACAGTATCTAATGTACATGGTAGCTTATTGATAATTGAATATAATTGATTGATTGGCCAGAGAGTTGAATGACTCACTAGAACCTTCTCCTCCAAAGTTATCACTAGCTGGTTGAGAGAGTTGGAACTCAGACCACAGTATCCATGTTAGGCCTATTTTCAGAATCTACCACACATCAAAACAAAACAGTGTTGGGAACCCAGACAAGGCCAAGACCATATCATACAGTGTAATACAACATTGTTGGCCAAACCTGGTTCACCTCAACTCTTTATGTGATGATGAGGATGTCAGGAATCTCTCTGCACGATGTGGTGGACGTGATCATCATATTGAGGGCATAGGAATGGGAGGGGAGCTGAAAATGAAAAGAGAGTCCTTTTTTTGGCAGTTACTTTAAAATGCACTACATTCACTTTGGGTAAAGAAATCACCAAACCATGGCCCAATTAAAGATTTGTATAACTAACCCAAGATAGACCACATGATGTCGTTTCCAATGAGTGGAAACGAGAACTGGATGCTTCACATTTATACATCCGGTGAAATATCTGTCTCATTGTTCTATCTGTGGCCCAATGGTATACTTTAAGCTGAGTCCCCTCCCATTCCACAGACTCCTATGGGTAGCATATTCAACAGATACCATAACTACTGGTTGTCACTGTGGTAGATACAGTGGCGAAAAAAAGTATTTAGTCAGCCACCAATTGTGCAAGTTCTCCCACTTAAAAAGATGAGAGAGGGCTGTAATTTTCATCATAGGTACACGTCAACTATGACAGACAAAATGAGAATTTTTTTTCCTGAAAATCACATTGTAGGATTTTTAATGAATTTATTTGCAAATTATGGTGGAAAATAAGTATTTGGTCAATAACAAAAGTTTCTCAATACTTTGTTATATACCCTTTGTTGGCAATGACACAGGTCAAACGTTTTCTGTAAGTCTTCACAAGGTTTTCACACACTGTTGCTGGTATTTTGGCCCATTCCTCCATGCAGATCTCCTCTAGAGCAGTGATGTTTTGGGGCTGTCGCTGGGCAACACGGACTTTCAACTCCCTCCAAAGATTTTCTATGGGGTTGAGATCTGGAGACTGGCTAGGCCACTCCAGGACCTTGAAATGCTTCTTACAAAGCCACTCCTTCGTTGCCCGGGCGGCGTGTTTGGGATCATTGTCATGCTGAAAGACCCAGCCACGTTTCATCTTCAATGCCCTTGCTGATGGAAGGAGGTTTTCACTCAAAATCTCACGATACATGGCCCCATTCATTCTTTCCTTTACACGGATCAGTCGTCCTGGTCCCTTTGCAGAAAAACAGCCCCAAAGCATGATGTTTCCACCCCCATGCTTCACAGTAGGTATGGTGTTCTTTGGATGCAACTCAGCATTCTTTGTCCTCCAAACACGACGAGTTGAGTTTTTACCAAAAAGTTCTATTTTGGTTTCATCTGACCATATGACATTCTCCCAATCCTCTTCTGGATCATCCTAATGCACTCTAGCAAACTTCAGACGGGCCTGGACATGTACTGGCTTAAGCAGGGGGACACGTCTGGCACTGCAGGATTTGAGTCCCTGGCGGCGTAGTGTGTTACTGATGGTAGGCTTTGTTACTTTGGTCCCAGCTCTCTGCAGGTCATTCACTAGGTCCCCCCGTGTGGTTCTGGGATTTTTGCTCACCGTTCTTGTGATCATTTTGACCCCACGGGGTGAGATCTTGCGTGGAGCCCCAGATCGAGGGAGATTATCAGTGGTCTTGTATGTCTTCCATTTCCTAATAATTGCTCCCACAGTTGATTTCTTCAAACCAAGCTGCTTACCTATTGCAGATTCAGTCTTCCCAGCCTGGTGCAGGTCTACAATTTTGTTTCTGGTGTCCTTTGACAGCTCTTTGGTCTTGGCCATAGTGGAGTTTGGGGTGTGACTGTTTGAGGTTGTGGACAGGTGTCTTTTATACTGATAACAAGTTCAAACAGGTGCCATTAATACAGGTAACGAGTGGAGGACAGAGGAGCCTCTTAAAGAAGAAGTTACAGGTCTGTGAGAGCCAGAAATCTTGCTTGTTTGTAGGTGACCAAATACTTATTTTCCACCATAATTTGCAAATAAATTCATTAAAAATCCTACAATGTGATGTTCTGGATTTCTTTTTCTCAATTTGTCTGTCATAGTTGACGTGTACCTATGATGAAAATTACAGGCCTCTCTCATCTTTTTAAGTGGGAGAACTTGCACAATTGGTGGCTGACTAAATACTTTTTTCCCCCACTGTAAGTGTGGGAAGCAGTACTTTACAGAGATGGCCATATTGGCATATGCTCACCTCATCTACAGAGCGTTGCCTGGTAACTGTCCTCAGCTTCCTGTACTGATAACCACAGTTAGTCACATTCTTAATGACATGGTTATACACAGAGAGACCCTGCTGCTGAGAAACTTCTCTCTGTTGTCTGCTGGTGCACATGACTTCCAATTGCAGAAGGCCCGTGCTTCCTCTGTTTTTCTATACCCTGCCTTCTCCTTTGTAGATACCCTCTCATAATGTACTGTAGCTCACATTTAGTATGAACTAGGTAATCTATAGATCTACCTCTGCTTTTTTCTCTGCCTCAATTACAAATAAAAATGGTGTGCATTCCCTAACCCTAACCGTTCTGTCCTGCAGGGCAGTAAGTACCACTGGCAGAGTCAGAATGTCAAGCAGAGTGGTGTGGACGACATGGTGCTACTGTCCAAGATCAGTGAAGACGCAATTGTGGAGAACCTGAAGAAGAGATACATGGACGACTACATCTTTGTATCCTGTTTCATTGTATGTTAGGGACCTTCCTTCATCACTTCTCACAAATGTCTCAGTGGGGAAGTACACTGTGAAGACACGACCTGTCCCGTCACACGCTCTCTGACTGATATATTTATAGGCACATACACAAACACACACACACACACACACACACACACACACACACACACACACACACACACACACACACACACACACACACACACACACACACACACACACATGCACACAAACAAAAAACTGTTACAAATGGCTTTAAACCATGTAGAGAGATTTGAGAATTGAGATCGTTGAGGTCATTCCACTGGCCCATAGCATTAGGTCCTTCCATTCTATATATCATGGGTGAGCACAGCTGATGTTTGTACTCACACAGTAGCAACAACACAATAACAAACATACATACCATCCTTGCCTCATCTCCCTAACACACATACATACTCACTCAACCTCATCACATGCTAACACACATACATACTCACTCAACCTCATCACATGCTAACACACATACATACTCACTCAACCTCATCACATGCTAACACACATACATACTCACTCAACCTCATCACATGCGCAGACACACATGAATGTATGCAATAATAGGACTGCACTGTTCCTCTTTTGGATGCACTGTGTGACTTCACAGCACACTACCCTGTTTTTAGTACACATTTTACTGCACATTCGAGACTTACTTCATTCTTTGTGTGAAAAAAAGCATTCTATTTTTGTGTATTATACAGTCCGGAGAAACTATGGTTTGGGATATTTGTCTTTTTGAAAAGTTTACATCATCATCAACAATTTCGATGTGATTGTTTCAATATCATATTCCACGATTTCACCAGAAACACCCTACCTATTCCTTAACTGTCATGTGCAGACCTATATTGGCTCTGTGTTGATATCAGTGAACCCATTCAAACAGATGCCCTACTTCACTGACCGGGAAATTGAACTCTACCAAGGGGCTGTGAGTAAACCATCCTATTGTTCAATGTTTACTTTGGTCTTTATGTGCCCATCATTTCATTGTTTACCTTAGTAGTTGTATATTAAACTCCCTCTCCGTCCATTCTCTTGATAAGTAGAATAGAAGAAGAGTAGGAGTAGGATCAGAGAGCAGAGAACACTCTCTCTCGATCGTCAGAGGGAAAGATCTCGACAGGGCTCGCTCAGAGAGCTGGAGATCTGAGAGAGAGAGAGAAGGAGCCCTGAGATCGAAGCTCGGGAACGAAGGAGAGACTTCGAGCTAGACGGAGAGACGAGAGCGTTCCTAATGATCTTCTATCTATTCGTCTCTCGCTCATCGCAGAGGGTCTATGCCTTTGCTTATCTGGCGTTTATCTCTCTCTTTTCTCACTCTCTCTCCTTCTCTCTCTGTTTTTTTTCTCTCTCTCTTTTCTCTCCTCTCTCTCTTCCTCGCGTTCTCGGCTCTCTCTCTCTATCTCTCTCTCTCTCTCTCTCTCTCTCTATCTTCTCTCTCTCTCTCTCTCTCTCTCTCTCTCTCCTCTCTCTCTCTTCTTCTCTCTCTGTTTTCTCACTCTCTCTGTCTCGTTTTTGTCTCTCTCGTTTTTCTCTCCATGTAAAGGCCCAGTATGAAAACCCTCCCCACATCTATGCCCTGACTGATAACATGTACAGGAACATGATGATCGATCAGGAGAACCAGTGTGTTATTATCAGGTGTGTTATTATACCAGTGTCATAACTGCTATCTGTTTCTGCTGGCAGGCAGTATGGAGGCCTAGTTCTTCTCTGTGCCTCTCTGTGACGCACCTTAGGCCTTCTCATGTGCGTCATGCTACCCAAGAACACTTACTCTCACTGCTTTTCTCAGAACTAACAAAGAACCAAAGAACAATCAGTGTGTCGTTTCCTTTCTTACTATACTGAACAAAAATATAAACGCAACATGCAACAATTTAAAAGATTCTACTGAGTTACAGTGCATATAAGGAAATCAGTCAATTTAAATAAATGTATTAGGCCCTAATCTATGGATTTCACATGACTGGGAATACAGATCAGAAAACCACCATTTGCCTCATGCAGCGCGACACATCTCCTTCGCATAGAAATGATCAAGCTGTTGATTGTGGCCTGTGCAATGTTTTCCCACTCCTCTTCAATGGCTGTGCGAAGTTGCTGGATTTGTCGGGAACTGGATCACGTTGTCGTACACGTCGATACAGAGCATCCCAAACATTCTCAATGGTTGACATATACAGGCCATGGAAGAACTGGGACATTTTCAGTTTCCAGGAATTGTGTACAGATCCTTGCGACACAGGACTGTGCATTATCATGCTGAAACATAAGGTGATTGCGGCAGATGAACAGCACGACAATGGGCCTCAGGATCTCGTCACAGTATCTCTGTGCATTCAAATTGCCATTGATAAAATGCAATTCTGTTCGTTGTCCGTAGCTTATGCCTGCTCATACCATAACCCCACCGCCACCATTGGGCACTCTGTTCACAACGTTGACATCAGCAAACCGCTCGCCCACATGACGCCATACACACTGTCTGCCATCTGCCCGGTACATTTTTTATACTGCGATTCATCCGTGAAGAGCACACTTCTTCAGCGTGACAGTGGCCATTGAAGGTGAGCATTTGCCCACTGAAGTCAGTTAGGACGCACAACTGCAGTCAGGTCAAGACCCTGGTGAGGACGGCGAGCACGCAGATGAGCTTCCCTGAGACGGTTTCTGACAGTTTGTGCAGAAATTCTTTGGTTGTGCAAATCCACAGTTTCATCAGCTGTCCGGGTGGCTGGTCTCAGACTATCCCGCGGGTGAAAAAGCCGGATGTGGAGGTTCTGGGCTGGCATGGTTACACGTGGTCTTCGGTTATGAGACCGTTGTGATGTACTACCAAATTCTGTAAAACAACGTTGGAGGCGGCTTATGGTAGAGAAATTAACATTACATTCTCTGGCAACAGCTCTGGTGGACATTCCTGCAGTCAGCATGCCAATTGCATGCTCCTTCAAAACTTGAGACATCTGTGGCATTGTGTTGTGTGACAACTGCACATTTTAGAGTGGCCTTTTATTGTCCCCAGCACAAGGTGCACCTGTGTAATGATCATGCTGTTTAATCAGCTTCTTGATTTGCCACACCTGTCAGGAGAAATGCTCACTAACAGGGATGTAAACACATTTGTGCACAAAATTTGAGATAAATAAGCTTTTTGTGCATATAGAACATTTCTGGGATATTTTATTTCAGCTCATGAAACATGGGACCAACACTTTACACGTTGCATTTATATTTTTGTTTAGTATAAAATAAACAGAGAATTTCATGTGCAGCCATAGATCACCTTCACAAAAAGTTTCACACAAAGTTTTTTGACAAGATGTAGAGGTGTAAATTAGAGGGTTATCATTGCCTTTAATATGTCTGTATGTTTTGTGTGTGTTGTGCCCAGTGGGGAGAGTGGAGCTGGGAAGACTGTGGCTGCCAAATACATTATGAGTTACATCTCCAAAGTATCAGGAGGAGGTGATAAAGTGCAGGTATTACCTACTGTTATTACTATTACTACTAATACTACTATTACAATGACTAATACTACTATTACTACTATTACCATTACTATTACTACTATTACTACTAATACTACTATTACTACTATTACAATTTCTAATACTACTAATACTACTAAAACTACTAATACTACTATTACCATTACAAATGCTACTATTACCATTACTAATACTGCTATTACTACTATTACTACTAGTACTACTATTACTACTAGTACTACTATTACCATTACTATTACTACTAATAATACTATTACTACTATTACAATTACTAATACTACTAATACTACTATTACCATTACCAATGCTACTATTACTACTATTACTATTACTAATATTACTATTACTACTATTACCATTACCTTTAGTATTAATACTAGTACTTATAATGCTACTATTACTACTATTACAATTACTAACACTATTAATACTACTATTACCATTACTAATACTACTAATACTACTATTACTACTATTACCATTACTAATCCTACTATTACTACTATTACCATTACTAATTTCTACTTTTAGCATTTTCATTACTAATGACTGTGAAGGAAACTCTGAAGTGCTGTGTTGTGATGTTTCTCTGTATGTGTCTGTCAGCATGTGAAGGACATCATCCTCCAGTCCAATCCTCTACTGGAGGCCTTTGGCAATGCCAAGACTGTCCGCAACAACAACTCCAGTCGCTTTGTGAGTGATACGTACAGCAACCAGCCTCCCCTTTCCCTTATTTGTCTTTCTATCCTCCTCATCTTTTTCTTCCTCCTCTTCTCTAGACACTGTGTGTGGGCTAATAAAGTAAGACTGATACTGTAAACTGATCATTTCTGAAACCACTTGCCAACTGTTGTTTTCCTGTGCTCTACCAGAGACGATCTGCATTCTGCAGACTATATACCCCAGCAGCAGTATGCAACAGTCACCGTTCACCCTCTCCTCTTTCCATATTCCTGAGATCCTGAAATGTTAATCTCAACTCCTAACCACATCCACATGCAACAGTGCAGGCTTTGTAGCTGAGTGCATGTCACCTCTGGGGTTTCCTGCCTCTATTACGGTAGAACAACACAATGAGATGAAAGAGCTTGAGAAGACTGAGCTGAGGTGAAATCCTGGGTGGGGTCAACAAGCTGTGTCGTAATGTAAAGATATAATGCAAATATATTTTTAGGGAGTTTACCACACTTCGTGGTACATCTTGTGTCACTGCTCTGATAATTCCATTCTACCAGTACAGAGGGCCACAAACCCATTCCCATTTACATTTGAGTCATTTAGCAGACGCTCTTATCCAGAGCGACTTACAGGAGCAATTAGGGTATAGTGCCTTGCTCAATGGAACTTCGACAGATTTCTAACCTAGTCGGCTCATGGATTTGAACCAGCGCCCTTTCGGTTACTGGCCCAACGCTCTTAACCACTAGGCTACCTGCCACCCGGACCATAACCATAAAGTCATAATAATCAACCATGTCTAATTTGAGTGATATGTTTTTGTGCGTGTTCTGATCTAACAGGGTAAATACTTTGAGATCCAGTTTAGCAGAGGAGGAGAGCCGGACGGTGGTAAAATCTCCAACTTCCTCCTTGAGAAGTCGAGAGTGGTGAGCCAGAACGAGAACGAGAGGAACTTCCATGTCTACTACCAGGTCAGTCAGGCCCTGAGCTAGGCCAGCAGTGACACAGCTACCCACAATGACAATGTGTTTGACTTTCTCGCCCTACACCACAGATTTAACGGTTCTGTAGGGTTTCATAATTGGGTATGAATTGTTTATGTGTAATTCATGTGCTGTAAATTTCAGTTGTGTTTTGTCTGAACTGTTGTATTTAGCTAATAGAGGGAGCCAACCCCCAGCAGAAAGAAACCCTGGGCATCATGAGTCCAGATTACTACTACTACCTGAACCAGTCTGGGACATACAAAGTGGACGGAACAAACGACAGCAAGGACTTTCAGGAGACAATGGTACCTTACGCCATCAGGGCTTAAAACATAGAGTACACTTTTTTTGTGAGCAATTCTTGATTGAGACATCACAGAAGCACTGGGAGCAAATTGACACTTATATTTACACTACCATTCAAAGGTTTGGGGTCACTTAGACATTTCTAAGTGACCCCAAACTTTTGAATGGTAGTGTAAATATAAGTGTAAATTTGCTCCCAGTGCTTCTGTGATGTCTCAATCAAGAATATCCATTAAAATAACATCAAATTGATCAGAAATATAGTGTAGACATTGTTAATGTTGTAAATGGCTATTGTAGCTGGAAACTGCTGATTTTTCATGGAATATCTACATAGGCGTACAGAGGCCCATTATCAGCAACCATCAGTCCTGTGTTCCAATGGCATGTTGTGTTTGCTAATCCAGGTTTATCATTTTAAAAGGCTAATTGATCATTAGAAAACCCTTTTGAAATTATGTTAGCACAACTGAAAACTGTTGTGCTGATTAAATAAGCAATAAAACTGGCCTTCTTGAGACTAGTTGAGTATCTGGAGCATCAGCAATTGTGGGTTCGATTACAGGCTCATAATTGCCAGAAACAAATAACTTTCTTCTGTAACTCGTCAGTCTTTTCTTGTTCTGAGAAATGAAGGCTATTCCATGCGAGAAATTGCCAAGAAACTGAAGATCTCGTACAACGCTGTGCAGTACTCCCTTCACAGAACAGCGCAAACTGGCTCTAACCAGAATAGAAAGAGGAGTGGGAGGCCCCGTTGCACAACTGAGCAAGAGGACAAATACATTAGAGTGTCTAGTTTGAGAAACAGACGCCTCACAGGTCCTCAACTGGCAGCTTCATTAAATAGTACCCGCAAAACACCAGTCTCAACGTCAACAGTGAAGAGGCGACTCTGGGATGCTGACCTTCTAGGCAGAGTTGCAAAGAAAAAGACACATCTCAGACTGGCCAATAAAAAGAAAAGATTAAGATGGGCAAAAGAACACAGACACTGGACAGAGGAAGATTGGAAAAAAGTGTTATGGATAGACAAATCAAAGTTTGAGGTGTTCGGATCACAAAGAAGAACATTTTTGAGACGCAGACCAAATGAAAAGATGCTGGAGGAGTGCTTGATGCCATCTGTAAAGCATGGTTGAGGCAATGTGATGGTCTGGGGGTGCTTTGGTGGTGGTAAAGTGGGAGATTTGTACAGGGTAAAAGGGATCTTGAAGAAGGAAGGCTATCACTCCATTTTGCAAAACCATGCCATACCCTGTGGACGGCGCTTGATTGGAGACAATTTCCTCCTACAACAGGACAATGACCCAAAGCACAGCTCCAAACTATGCAATAATTATTTAGGGAAGAAGCAGTCAGCTGGTATTCTGTCTATAATGGAGTGGCCAGCACAGTCACCGGATCTCAACCCTATTGAGCTGTTGTGGGAGCAGCTTGACCGTATGGTACGTAAGAAGTGCCCATCAAGCCAATCCAACTTGTGGGAGGTGCTTCAGGAAGCATTTTTACATTTACATTTTTTACATTTAAGTCATTTAGCAGATGCTGTTATCCAGAACAACTTGCAGTTAGTGAATGCATACATGTTTTTTTGTTTGTTTTTGTTAGTTTTTTTGTTTTTTTCTTACTGGCCCCCCGTGGGAAACGAACCCACATCCCTGCCGGTCAAATCCTCCCCTACCTTGGACGACGCTGGACCAATTGTGCGCCGCCCATGGGTCTCCCGGTTGCAGCCGGCTGCGACAGAGCCTGGACTCGAACCAGGATCTCTAGTGGCACAGCTAGCACTGCGATGCAGTGCCTTAGACCACTGCGCCACTCGAAGCATGGGGTGAAATCTCTTCAGATTACCTCAACAAATTGACAACTAGAATGCCAAAGGTCTGCAAGACTGTAATTGCTGCAAATGGAGGATTCTTTGACAAAAGCAAAGTTTGAAGGACACAATTATTATTTCAATTAAAAATCATTATTTCCAACCTTGTCAGTGACTACATTTCCTATGCATTTTGCTATATTTCTTATTCAAACTCATTTCATGTATGTTTTCATGGAAAACAAGGACATTTCTAAGTGACCCCAAACTTTTGAACGGTAGTGTATATTCGTAATACAGGCTTATAATTAGCTAAATATACTGTTCTATTGTGTATTCCCAGTCCTTGTGTGTTGTCAGGGCCAGCAGTAATGGCGCTCTGTACAGGACCATAGATTTCAGTGTTGAGTTTTGTCCACAGGAAGCCATGAATGTGATTGGGATCCCAGAGGCTTACCAGGCTCAGGGGCTGCAGATCATAGCAGGAATCCTGCACCTTGGAAACATCAGCTTCATAGAAGCAGGCAACTATGGGCAGGTGGAGAGCACTGACTGTGAGTGGGAGAGCACAAACATGCCTAATACACACACATGAAGACATGCACACAGAGATGCACATGCACAAGTAAGCATCAATGTAACATTCCCCATAAGGTGAAAAAACATTGGAGAGGGATAGTCACTAAAACACACTTTTGCCATAATGAAAGCAGGAATTAATGTATAAACAGGTGTTCTGTTTGTTCTGTTTGTCTTTCCTCCCTCCCAGTGCTTGCCTTCCCTGCCTATCTGCTGGGTGTTGACCCAACGCGTCTGCAAGAGAAACTGACCAGCAGAAAGATGGACTCGAAGTGGGGTGGAAAGTCTGAGTCCATCGATGTGACACTCAACCAGGAACAAGCCACCTATACCCGCGACGCCCTGGCTAAGGCCCTCTACACACGACTCTTTGACTACCTGGTGGAGGTCAGGGACATCTACTATACACTGCAATGATACACACACAGACACAAATACAGTAATGATGACACATTCATTTCATACTAACTAATTCTCCTCTCTCTTCCTCTCCTATTACTAGGCCATAAACAAAGCCATACAGAAACCTCATGAAGAATACAGCATAGGAGTACTTGACATATATGGTTTTGAGATATTCCAGGTAAATTGTATATTAAATACATAGAAATATACATCTCTGATTGGAAAACGAGACAAGACATAGCTATATCGTAACATTCTCTTTAACTTGGATGTGTGCTTTCTGACAGAGGAATGGGTTTGAGCAGTTCTGCATCAACTTTGTCAACGAGAAGCTACAACAGATATTTATTGAGCTGACACTGAAGGCTGAACAGGTACAAACCACTCTCAAATCTCAACACTTTTAATTTAGTTTACGAGGTGTCTTGGATGTTGTAAAAGTTATATTGGCATTACAATGTCTATCTCTCTATGTTTCTCCCAGGAAGAGTATGTTCAGGAAGGCATCAAGTGGACACCAATTGAGTATTTCAACAACAAGGTTGTGTGTGACCTCATCGAGAATAAGTTGGTGAGCCAAAAATGACAATATATCAATGCAATTTCCACAAATGTATCTATATTCTACTTGTGGCTACTACTCTACATGTCTAACAATCCCCTCCCATCCAGAACCCGCCAGGCATCATGAGTGTGCTGGATGATGTGTGTGCCACCATGCATGCCAAGGGTGAGGGGGCAGACGGCACCCTGCTCCAGAAGCTCTCGGCGGCGGTCGGCACTCACGAACACTTCAACAGCTGGAACTCTGGCTTTGTCATCCACCACTACGCAGGCAAGGTGGGTACCAGGAGAGGACACGCCTTCCCACACTCAAAACAGATAGAAGTAGACACTTCTAGGCTGAGGTAGATAGGAATGTTCCATCATTGGGAAGTGGGTAGGTAGACATGTGAGTGAAATGTTAAGGTCGGTGTGAATGTTGATATTTACACATGATGTGTCATGTCACCTCAGGTCTCCTACGAAATAAACGGCTTCTGTGAGAGAAACCGGGACGTGCTTTTTACTGACCTCATTGAACTCATGCAGAGCAGTGAACAGTACGTATGCCTCTATCTTTACCTTAACAGACACGTGTCTCAAAATAACCAAGGCTTGGGAAAATCAATTAAATGTGGTCCTCCATTTTGTCCCCACAGTGACTTCATCCGCAGCCTCTTCTCTGAAAACCTCAACACAGACAAGAAGAGCAGGCCTACTACTGCTAGCTCTAAGATCAAGGTAACTGTCCCCACTCTACTGCCAGCACTGTGGTTCAGTGGCTGGGTGTAACAGTACACCCATAGGTTTGAGGTTATTAGTAGCTACATGGTGGTACATCCATCTCTTATGTTCTCTCTACAGAAACAAGCCAATGATCTGGTGAACACATTGATGAAGTGCACCCCCCACTATATCCGATGTATCAAACCCAACGAGACTAAGAGACCCAAGGACTGGGAGGAGAGCCGGTTTGTCCCTATTACACCCCCCAACAGACAACAAATATGCAATAGCAGAACATTCAGAGAATTCAGCAGGGAGTTATGACTATATAGTTTGGAACATTAGAATAAAGGGGATGATGAACCTATGTGTTTAGGGCCAAGCACCAGGTGGAGTACCTTGGGCTGCGGGAGAACATCCGTGTACGTCGAGCCGGCTACGCCTACCGCAGAGTCTTCAATAAGTTCCTACAGAGGTGAGTCTTACTTACTCTTAGGTGTGTGTCCTTCAGTGTCTGCTTTGTGTCCGCTCAGTGTGTGTGCGTGTGTGTGTGTGTGTGTGTGGGGGGGGGGGGGGGGGGGGGGTAGTGTATGCTCTCCCCAGTGCCTGACCCTCTATGTGTGGCCTGCAGGTATGCCATTCTGACGGCGGAGACGTGGCCGTCCTGGCAGGGGGGAGAGCAGCAGGGGGTCCTGCATCTCCTCCGCTCTGTCAACATGGACACAGACCAGTACCAGATGGGGCGCTCCAAGGTCTTCGTCAAGGCCCCAGAGTCGGTAGGGGCCCACATAGGTCTCCCTGGGAAAAGTGCTGTTTATTTTATCTCAATGGGACTTCCCGGTTTAAATGAATATATGAAATGTTTTACAAAAAAGGTGTGAGGTATTCATCTGTATAGTGTAAAATGGTTTATTTGATCAAAGCATTCCGTCTCTCCTAGCTCTTCCTATTGGAGGAGATGCGGGAGAGGAAATTCGACTTGTTCGCCAGGACCATCCAGAAGGCCTGGAGGAAGTACATCGCCAGGAGGAAATATGAACAGATGAGGGAGGAGGGTAAGTGTGTCAATGATCCTAGAGAGGTGTGTGGGGATGAAACAAGGAAGAAAAATGAATATACATAAATTAATGTAAATACAGAAAATGAATATACAGCAATGAATATGTCCTGGAAGGGTCTTACTTAACATGACCTCTCTCGCATGTTGTCCACAGCCTCGGACATCCTGTACAACTCTAAGGAGCGGAGGAGGAACAGCATCAACAGGAACTTTGTAGGAGACTACCTGGGCCTGGAGCAGAGGCCTGAGCTCAGACAGTTCATGGCCAAGAGGGAGCGAGTCGACTTTGCAGACTCTGTCAACAAGTTTGACCGCAGGTTCAAGGTGAGTCTACCTCTCCCTCCCCCCACAGAGCGGTGAGGAAAACAGAGCCAAGGCCAGGGTTAACAGCACAACATTGGGTTAACTTCTTCCATCTTCCATTTACACCCACTCATTCTCACTCTCATTCTTTCTCGCCCCCTCCCATTCTCTCTCTCAAGTCCATCAAGAGGGACCTGATTCTGTCTCCCAAGGGTATCTACCTGATAGGCAGAGAGAAGGTGAAGAAGGGGCCAGAGAAGGGACAGATAAAGGAGGTGTTAAAACGGAAGCTGGAGTTTGCGAGCATCCACTCTGTCTCTCTCAGGTAAGGGTTTTTTCTCACTGCTAAACTTAGAATAGCATATAACAGTTCAATGTGATGTATTTCCAGGCAGTACCAATGAGAGCTTTTGTGGTCAGTGTTGTCATTAATAAACAGGAACTGATCACACAGGATATGTTTTTTTTTTTTTACGTTGCTATATCAGCCTACTGTGTGTGACACTTATTGTCTTCTACCAACGCCAATCCCTCAAATCTTTCCATTTCTACCTTTCTCCCTTTCCCTGTAGTATGAGACAAGATGATTTCTTCATCGTGCATGAGGCTCAGTATGACAGTCTGCTGGAGTCCAACTTCAAGACTGAGTTCCTCAGCCTGCTCTGTAAGCGCTATGAAGAAGTGACCAAGAACAAGCTGTCTCTCTCCTTCAATGACAGGTATGACTACACACATACTGGATAGGAACAGCCTTGCTATATGACTCTCTATGTGTGGTCTCCATAGTTTAATTGATCGAGTTAACTTTGGATAAAAGCATCTGGTAAAATGATCATTTCATTCATGTCCACTGTTGTGGCTCTCTATAGGCTGGAGTTCCGGGTGAAGAAGGAGGGCTGGGGTGGAGGGGGCACCCGTGTTGTGGTATTCCAGAGGGGACAGGGGGACCTGGCAGAAATCAGACCAGCTGGAAAGACCCTCACCATCACCGTGGGAGATGGCCTGCCCAAGACCTCCAGTGAGTAGCAGGAAGAGAGAGAATCACATACAGAAGGAGGAAAGAGACATTGATATAGATAGACATGTATAAAATACTAAGTCTGACTCAATACAGTGTACAGTATATAACATATCCTATTAATCCTAATATGTCATAGTTTAAAACTCTACATGTTTATTTTGTCAGAGCCCACCAAGAAGGGATCTCCACAGAACCATGGAGGAGGCAGGAATCAGCCTCCCAGCAGAGGTAAACTCATTATTTGGTCCAGATATGTTCCTACATCATCAGCATGCCTCACTCCATGAACATGGCCTTGCAGTGCTTACTATGAACTGTGTACCACCCTGTGATAGTTATGTTGAGATATTAGAGGTCTTAGTGTATGAATGGTATACTGTATGTCTTGTGTTTTGATGGTATCTGGGTTCCTCTTCTTTGACTAGGGCACCAGAATGGTGCAGCCAGAGGTAGAGTTGCTCCAGCGCCACAGCAGCCAGAGCACACCTACTCTGTGCCCCAGAAACTGAACCGGCCCCCCAGCGCCGCCCTCCCCAAACAGGCCTCCCAGAATTCAAGACGAGGCTCGGCTCAGACTCAGCAGGGGAACCTGGACTTCCTCAACGTGCCTGACCAGGGCGTGTCTGGGTGAGCTGAATAAACTGAGCATACAGTGGGCATTCACAAAATATACTATCTGCAGTGAAGGATTGGAGTTGAGCTCTCATCTCTCTCTCTCTCCGTCTCTCTCATCTCTCTCTCTCCCTGTCTCTCTGATCTCTCTCTCTCTCCGTCTCTCTCATCCCCCTTTCCCTCTCTCCAGAATGCAGAGGAAGAGGAGTATCAGCAGCCAGCGGCCACCCCCGGCCCCGTCCAGCCGGCCCAAGTCCCAGCCCCGCCCCACCGGCCCGCGTTGCCGGGCGCTGTACCAGTATGCTGGCCAGGACACAGACGAGCTCAGCTTCGACGCCAATGATGTCATCGACCTGCTCAATGAAGGTGAGGAACACGTAGGGAGGGAATAGAATAGTACTCAATTGTCTATTTGTGAAGAAACTAACTGTGTCCATCTCAACAAAGGAAAAGGGTGAGGAGAAAGAGGCAGAAGAGACTATAGAACTTGTTGGATGCTTGGCACTACTACACCAGTGTTGTTATGCTTGAAGTGCTGATCCTGAATAAGCTCACGGCATCAATTCATGCTCAGACCTGTTTTGGATTAGTTATAAGTAGGGGTGTAACGATTCGTTTTAACAACGATTCGATTTGTATCACGATTCGTGGTTGTCGATACGATTCAAGGACGATATTGGTTCATTTAGAACGATACGATCCGAAACGATTCAGTGACTTGAAATCGATTCAGTAACCTTTTAGCCAAAAATTCAACCAGTGTGACTGAAATAAATACCTGGATACTGGACAGTGCAGGTGAAGTTTCCTAGATTCCTGTTTCTTGTAAGGACCGCAATGGTGGCTTGATAATTTCTCGCTCGTCGGCTTCTCCTCTGTCGTCCGCCATGCTATGTTTTGTTGTCTTGGCGCCTTTGCGCTGCTGCTGGCGCGATGACGTCACGGATAGGCAGACTGAATCGAGTAATGTTTAAAGCCTTTATCATTAAAAGTGCTAAGAAAAAACATCCATATAAAGTCTGACGTGCTTAAATCCAATGGGTTATTTCCTAGTATCGATACAATCGATTTATTACATTTTAAAACGATGTTAGATCGATATATGTTGTCCAAAAGGCCAACTCGCCGAGCACAGATCGATGTAGTTGGATCATAGGAATATAAATCGATACGTCGATGTAGTAGATGGATCGTTACACCCCTAGTTATAAGGCTGTACTGTGTATGGAGTCCACAGCTGTTCGTCTCTCTGTGTTCCCCTGCAGATGTATCAGGCTGGTGGAGAGGCAGGTTTCGTGGCAAGGAAGGACTCTTCCCTGGGAACTATGTGGAGAAGATCTGATTACTGCCTGTCCTGTGGCCCAACAAACAATGTATACAACAGACATTACTATCCACTGTAAAGCAATGGTGAACTACATGTAAGCCAAACAGTGTTTGGCTTACAAGAGATATCTGATTTACAAGCGTTTCAATAGGATCATCATGTTGACACCAGTTCTTTGTAATATCTGCACAACAATATCAGTACAGAGAAAGATGCATGTTGAAAAGCTAGCTGAAACAGAGGACCGTGTCTTTCTTATCTGGACCTTATTCCAGTTTCACAAAAGAGGACTTGGATGCAAAGCTTTGAGGTGGTAACTCAAAATAGGATGCAATGATTTTATGCACATTATTTTAAAAATTGCTTTGTGATAACCATGTGACAAATATAATGCCATCAAGTGTGGATAAAAAAGCATCCCAGAAATTCAGATTTAGTATTTGAGTAAATATTACCTTTAAAGGGGCAATCAGCAGTTGCTACATCAATTTTTGGACTTATAAATTAACTATATATGTACCCCATTGATTCCTGAAAAATGTAACTTATAAATGCCACATGAGAGCTTAGTTCAACTGTCTTACCCCATCAGAACCCAAAATATAAGCTTGTTTTACTCCAATGTTTGTAAACAAAGAAAATGTAAGCAAACACAATATAGCCTCAAAACATGGTTAAAACTATAATTTGGATATCTTGGATGGTCAATCTTTGCATCTATAGCTCTGTCTATGAATTTGAGTTATTACATTTCTCCAGCCCGATCCCTTAGCCTTTTACCGAACCAGGGGTGGGGAGGCTGCTTTGGTATTGTTTCTTCTTATGATTGCTGCTTTAAGGAACCACTGGGAGGTACTGCTGCACCATTTCCGTGTCTTCAATTCTTGCAAGTCAATGTGCACTGAGCATAAAAAGTTGACTGATGTATGATAACATACATGGTTCTTTGATGTTTTAAACTTGTAATTACAAATAATAGTTCTGCTATGTTGAATTCATTACAAAAACTTGTTTATGTGTTGTAAAAGAACTTCACCTTGAAATTAACACATTTTTGTCCAGTGGCAGTGGTCACAATAAAGACAATTATTATAGATACACAAATGATTGAGACACTGTTTTTTTCTTCCTTGACGCAATGTGTAACTAAATGAAACTGAATGCCACCTCATTCTTATATCATGTTTAGCTATCAATAATGAAACCTGGAATGCATCTTTGTTTTTCAAAGTCTCGTAACCCTGTAAGAATGCTGTCTTAATTATGGCTATGAATGATGTGTTGTCAAGAGAGAGTGCAGCACAGTAAATTCTTCTTCAGCTGGGAGGACTGGTCCAGCAGGTGAGCTTTTACTGAAACTGGGAGCTTTACATGTTAAGAATGGAAATGCTAATCGATTACAATGGTCAATGTGTGGCTGCCGGTTTATAGTAATCTTTGGAGCAGTTACTGAAGCATGCAGCAGGTGATAGTTGCATCTTTGGCCAATTATGTTGTATAAAAACATGTCTTGACAATATGAAGTGTTGAATATGCATAGTAGAAAAGTGCATATTCAACACTTCATATTGTCAGTTGTGTGCCTTTCCAAATCATGTCCAATCAATTGAATTTACCACTGGTGGACTCCAATCAAGTTGTAGAAACATTTCAAGGATGATCAATGGAAACAGGATGCACCTGAGCTCAATTTCGAGTCTCAGAGCAAAGGGTCTGAATACTTATGTAAATAAGGTATTTCTGTTTTTTGTTTGTAATATATTTGCAAAAATGTTGTCATTATGGGGTATTAGGTGTAGATTGATGAGGAAATTGTTTTATTTAATCCATTTTTGAATAAGGCTGTAACGTAACAAAATGTGGAAAAAGTAAAAGGCTTTGAATACTTTCCGAATGCACTGTACCTAGTGAATAACCAGTGGATAACCAATTAACTAAAACCAAATGTTCTGTTATGATCAGACTACATACTCAATGAATACAGCCATACTATGGGGTATATGTTAAACATACATGGTAGGCTACTGCTTTAATAACTGAGTATTGTCCTTAGTACCTGTGGAGAAGGGCACATTAACCAGGCTGTGTAGTTGTTGAGCAGGATCCCCTGCTTATTCTGATGATCCACAGACAGACCAGTAGAGCTGGTCTCAACTATGACCTCATTCCCCATCACCAACCTGATTTCTTAAAATGAAAATACACCTGTATTACCCAGACTCTGTCGTAGCCGGCCGCGACCGGGAGACCCATTAGCCAGCGTCGTCCAGGGTAGGGGAGGGAATGGCCGGCAGGGATGTAGCTCAGTTGGTAGAGCATGGCATTTGCAACGCCAGGGTTGTGGGTTCGATTCCCATGGGGGGCCAGTATGAAAATGTATGCACTCACTTAACTGTAAGTCGCTCTGGATAAGAGCGTCTGCTAAATGACTAAAATGTAAAATGTAAATAATTGTATGGGCTCTTTGCCTATTCCAAACCAGCATTAGCCTAGATTAATTTTTTAATGAATGGCAATATGTTGGGATTGTGTGGTGATTAAACATGCAGCCTAATCAATGTTGAAGTAATGACTTGCATATTTGATTTGATTTCTAATATATATATACCAGGTGTCCGTGCTGTTTGACTGACTTGTAGTTATGCCGACTCACCTCCTTGTAAAATGGCATAATAGCATAATAGCACAATTGTTTCAATGAACATTGTCAGGAATGTTCTTTCTTCTAGAATACATTAATAATACAATGGCAAACACACGGGTAAAGAATGATTGGCTACCTATGTCAAAAGCAAAGGGCATTGATGTGACATATGATCAAAGTGGTCTCACGCTTGTGTGCTTGTTCCATGCCCGTCGGTACACCTGGCCATAGAGAATAAGAATAGCCACAGCTTTTGCCATTAAGTGTGTATTCCTTCTATTCTAAAACTATAATTTCAAACAAAGGATGCCGAATAAGAAATAATGTATTGCTGGTAATGTAATATGGTAGGTTTTAGTTATATTTGTTTGATCACGTGTTGCGTGTTGCTGAGGTTGGGTATCAGGTTTTACGTTCATGCGTAAAATGCACCCATGTGCATTTGGTTCCCATTCAACTTTAATCCAAATTCTGAACTGACAGGTTGTAATATAACAAAGGTACTGGGAATGTCAGTTTCACAGTAGTATTTCTTGCCACACCGGGGCATGTTGTCACAGTAAAGACTCGTGCAACAGGATCGGGAGCATTTGTCCCCTACTTAAAATCCACCTGACACTTGGAGAGGAAAGTAGTTGTGGTTGGATTACAACATGGGAGGTAAGCTCTATCTCTATTGTATCTGGTCGTCTGAGATGGTGGTCATATAGGGCCTACATAAATTCCACATAAACGCATGTTGTTTTGTTGTCAATATATAGGTTATAACAACAGGTGACAGATGTTTTGATGATGACACAATTTCATGATGATGACTTGTCTTCTTGAGTCTTTCAATGCAATGTTAAGATAATATTTGCTTTGGTTTTAAAGCATCACATGATTGCAGTATGGATGGATAAAACAGAACATTTAGCATTGACAGTCCATCCTACTCTGTTTGTAACCCATTTAAATGTAATCTTTGAACAACATGTAAATAGTTAATTTCAATTATATTTATTAGCATTGACTATTGTGCCATTTTACTCATGCTGCTAACAATCCAACAGGCCGGCTGGATGTAGCACTATAATTCAGTACAATATAAGCAGCACTGGAGCAACCATTTTGGTGCCTGTGGTTGAAGAAGCCCATGCTAAGGCATCCAATCCTGGATATTTGCTTATCTTTTCAAAAAGGGCAAAAACAGACAATTAACATTTCACTAAAGCAAGTCCCTCATATGGCGTCTTCAAAATGTGGATCAGCATGTGGAGTCTTTGAAAAAGGCTACATCCACATGGTTAGTCATTCTGTGCCCTATGCTGGAAGCTCTGAATGCAACGGAAAATAATGGCCTCTTTCTCCCCCACAGGGTTCTATTCTAGTGAGAAGATGACAGGCCTGTTCGCCTATGAAAGCTCCGATTTGGACTGGTGTGAGGATAACTACAGGCACTCTGAACACATAGTGGAGTACTTCAACACTGTAAGTGCACATTATTTATTTCTTACAATATCCAGCTGAGAAATACGCCTCTGTGCTTATTGTACCTTTCTGAAACTCCATTGCAACTCACTTGTCTACTGTACTCTTTTATTGTATCTGTTGAGGACCATCCTTTTTGGCCACAATGATGATAGGTGTAGTGGAAAGGTGCATCACTCACTGCATTACATTGTGAATCCTTCTTTTAGAAAACTCCTTTCTGTTTCTCCAGATGAGCAGCCTGTTCTTCTTCGTGATCTCCCCCATCATGCTGTACCTGCTACACCCCTATGCCAGGGAGAGGAACCTGGCTGTACACCTGGTCTGGATCATGATGATCTTTGTGGGTGTGTCTCCACTCTCCTTTCCAAACATCAGGCCAACCTTCATTCAGTTATAACTCCACTCCAAGGGTGGCCTCATCAGTCTGCTTTCAGTTCATTCTGAATTCAATAATAGCTCTTAACCTATCCCCCATAGATACTGGGTAGGGGCTGGGGGCCATTTAGGAACGGGGCATTAATGTGTGTCCCCTCCTTACAGGTCTCTTCTCTGCCTACTTCCACATGACCCTGAGCTTCATGGGCCAGATGCTGGATGAGCTGTCCATCCTGTGGGTCCTGGGGCTCTGCTATGGCCTCTGGTTCCCACGCAGGCTCTACCCCTCCTTCATCAAGGACAGGTTGGTCACCATTGCTCCTAGTCGAGGCTTCTGCAGACAAAATGTTGTCTGTGAATACTGGAAGTAGCGTACCGGGTGCTGCCTTCCTGTCTCTATTCAATGTAACCGTGGAGCAGCGTCCTCGTGTGTTTAGATCTCCCTGCTACAGGATCATGCACCTGTTCTCTCTATATAGACCAAACGGCAGTACGTACTGTAGGCTTTTAATAAGGCAGGAGACAATGACAGGATCTTTTTACAGGGCACGCCAGGTTGAAACAGAAGCCATGCTAAGCCAGGAGTCTGAGAACCAGGCCAGGAGCAGCCTGCAGTGTGCTATATTCACCAGCCAGTGGGAGAGAGGGGCTCCCTGGCGTTCTGAATGACTCTCCCATTAACACTGTTAAAACAGTGTGAAGATAATCCCAATTTAACTAGAAAACTAGCCCTTGGTTCAATAGTCCCCATTGATTTACCTTCCAGTGTTTTCTGTGCTGTCGTGTGTTGCCTGTCAACTGTCTTCAAGTTCATTGTATGTCTCCTACCCACCCCTAACCCTCCCTCTCTCTCTCTCTCGCTCTCTCTCTCGCCCCCTGCAGGACGACTTTCTCCCGGCTAGTCATGATGATCACTGTTGTCACCACCCTATGCTCCTTTGTCAAACCCACTGCCAACGCCTACCTCCTCAACTGCTTTGCCCTCCACATCATCTACTCATTGGGTCTGGAGATGAGGATGTAAGGCAATAACTCCCATTATTGTACTGTACATTACTGTCTATCACGCCATCAGTTCACTGTCTGATAACTGCTATCTAATAACTGCTTTCTCTCTCTCTCGCTCTCTCTCTCCCTTTATTTTCCTCACACACAGCTGTACTGACCAGAAGGTGCTGCGGTTATGCTGGGCTGCTGTTGGCCTGTGGGTGCTGGCCATCTCCTGCTGGATCAGTGATCGTTTCGGATGCAGCTTCTGGCAAAAGCTCAATTTCTGCTACCTGCATGGCATCTGGTAAGAGTAGGGGAGACGACAACAATGATGTTAATAGAAGTTAGATGGAACAATTTTATTTTTTATTTTGTGAATCACAAACAGATCCATGTATGACTGACAAGTGTCTATTCACTCTCTAGGCACATTCTGATTGTGATGGCTGTAGCCTATGCAAGCACCCTGATAGCCTACTTGGATGCCATCTATGAGATACCCTACTCCCTGCCAGGCCTTCAGTACTGGCCCAGTGACAACTGGGTCCTGGGCTTGCCTTACATCGTCCTGAAAGGAACCACCAAGACTCAGAAAATATTCTAGAGAACATTTAACTTCTGCAAGAGACAACTTGAAGTCTTTGGTGATGAAATGTGGTCTGTAGTGCCATGCAGAGAAAGTGTAAAATGTGGTGCCTTTCTTTTTACTTAGCAGTGACTCCGTTTGAGAAATGGTTGCAATCCATTAGATTGCTTCTTATTTGATATGAAAATAGAATCAATGCCACTCAGGTCATCAAGTTCGATGTTTGTTTGGTGTGCATGTGTGAGAAAATTAATGTGTGTATGTTTGCATTTTGTGTGAATTTTGATCAATTCACTCATCGGTTATTTTCGTCCATACAGATGTAGAATCTTAATTTGATCACTCTTTTTGTTGCTGAGAATTTTCCTGCACCGCAGGAAATGCAAATGAGCTTCATGGTTTATATAAATTCACTGAAAACCTACTGTTATATTAACAGTATTGCACTTTTCATGTAGCATACTTTTAGCCAGCTTAATAGCCTAACCACCGATCAAGCAACATTGTTGCTCAGGATTATTTTGCTATCACAATATAGGTCAAATGAAGATCCTACATCTGTATGTGCATGGATATTCTCTGCACATCATGTTTGTAAAAAAATGTTTGTATTTAGCTGTGTTTTGGTATGATTACATGCTTGTCTTTGTAGTGACAAGTACTGAGATTCTTTCAACAAAAAAGACAGCTTTGATTAAATGTGGGGCTGAATCACAACCACATTTCAGGGGGCTTGTAGAGTTTGTTTACATAACCTACACCCTTTTCAGGGATAAATATCACATTGTGTGTGAACTGAACTAAACTATCTAAGTCGTTTTATAACATACATTTTTATCTTGGTTCAGGGACGTATTAATTTAATCTCGCTCAGGTTTTTCAAAGAGTATTACAATGTTATTATAGAAACTGTTAGGAACATGTCAAGGTTTGTTATGTGTGAGGTTCTACCTCTATGAGCAATTACATTTTTATATGAATAAGATTAAAAGTTTGTACATTACTGAAATAAATGCATTGACGAATTTGAGACGTTTCTTAACAGAATGTAGTTTTTCTCTTTTGATTAAAAAAATAAAAGTTGCTATGAACAATATATTGAGCATTAGACATATATATATTTTTTCATCTACCTCTTTTAACTGCTGTGTTTTGTATTAGGATCCTTGCTAAAATAACAAATATTTGGAAACCCACCAGAAATCCCTCCTAAAGAAAATAAATTGAGTATGAACTAGAAATGTTAAATCATTTGGTACATTGTAGACATGTTTTCAAAGTCCTATTCCTACCTGGTCTCTGACACAAAGAAATTGGCATGCACATGTACTCATGTACTCCTGTACTCCTGTACTCCTGTACTCCTGAGTGGCGCAGTGGTCTAAGGCACTGCATCGCAGTGCTAACTGTGCCACTAGAGATCCTGGTTCGAATCCAGGCTCTGTCGCAGCTGGCCGTGACCGGGAGACTCATGGGCGGCGCACAATTGGCCCAGCGTCGTCCAGGGTAGGGGAGGGAATGGCCGGCAGGGATGTAGCTCAGTTGATAGAGCATGGCGTTTGCAACGCCAGGGTTGTGGGTTCGTTTCCCACGGGGGGCCAGTATAAAAAAATAAAATAATGTATTCACTAACTGTAAGTCGCTCTGGATAAGAGCGTCTGCTAAATGACAAAAATGTAAAATGTACATGATATTCATAAACTGTCAGAGGGAACAGTGACATCTAGTGTACAGATTACCCACTAGGCAAAAACTGGTTGAATTAACATTGTTTCCACGTCATTTCAACCCAAAAAATCTATGTGATGATGTTGAATCAACGTGGAAAACGGATTGAATTTGCAAAAAGTAATCAATGTAAGGGCATTTTTTATTTTTTTATTTTTTCCAACTGTTAACCTAGATCCAATGACATGGTGACATTTTTTGTTGATTTCATGTTGAATTCATGTTAGTTGACAACTCAACCGAATGTAAATCAAAACTAGAAGTTGAACTGACGTCTGTGTCCAGTGGGTACAGTAAAGTTGTAAATATGTAACAACCATTGACTTACATATGGCTAACAACAACCCCTATGAATGATCTACACTGAGTGTACAAAACATTAGGAACACCTTCCTAATCTTGAGTTGTACCCCCCTTTGACCTCAGAACTGCCTCAATTCGTCGGGGCATGGATTATACAAGGGATGCTGGCCCATGTTGACTCCAATGTTTCCCACAATTCTGTCAAGTTGGCTGGATGTCCTTTGGGTGGTGGACCATTCGTGATACACACAGGAAAATGTTGAGTTTGAAAAACCCAGCAGCGTTGCAGTTCTTGACACACTCAAACCGGTGCACCTGGCATCTACTACCATACCCAGTTCACTTAAAGGCACTTAAATATGTTGTCTTGCCCATTCACCCTTTGAATGGCACACATAGACAATCCATGTCTCAATTATCTCAAGGTTTAAAAATCAGTCTTTAACCTGTCTCCTTCCCTTTATCTACACTGATTCAAGTGGATTTAACCGGTGACATCAATAAGGGATCATAGCTTTCACCTAGATTCACCTTGTCAGTCTATGTCATGGAAGAGCAGGTGTTCATAATGTTTTGTACACTCAGTGTATATACAGTGTGTGTGTGTGTGTGTGTGTGTGTGTGTGTGTGTGTGTGTGTGTGTGTGTGTGTGTGTTTGTACATTTTATAAACCCTTTCAGTGATGACTCAATCAAACATGGTAACCATTTCAATAGTGGAGAAGAAAAACAGGGATTGACTAAGTTACAACATTTATATGCCTTTGACAGCCAGATGGGAGTTTAATAAAGACTGATCCATGCCTCAAAGACTGGATCAGTGTGAGTGACACAGCGAGGCCAGGGCTGATAGAAAGCTCTGACCCTCTGTCCAATAGCAGTGGCCTGGTAATCACACATCAAAGTTCCACCGCTACAGGCTACACTGTGCAGTGCCTCTAGTCCCTGTGTCTCTGTGAAGCTGTGGACGTCTTCTATCAGGAGCCATGCTGCTCTCTATTAAGATTACCCATTGGAAATAGAGCCAGTACACCACCACATTTGAGGCAGCAGAGAAAGCAGATTGAGTCTGTCTGTCATAATCTTTGCATTATGCTGCTGAGCTTAAAGAAATGCAGCTCGGCTCAAGTCAAGGGTCAGAGTTTGGGATGGACGCTTACTCAATCTGTGGCTGGTGGAATCTCACTGTTGTTTTTATTCAGCACTTGTTCATGGACGTAAAGCAGTGGAAGTCATCATGGTATCAAAGCAAACACAGACATATTTGGGTGTTCTGATATAGGCCTATATGCAATATCCTGCGGGCCTATGGAATGCTATGCTATGCAATGCTCAGTGTTGCCTCAAAGCAAATCAAATCTGTTTTTAAAAGTCATCCACTGCTAGAAATCAATGTCCTTCATTTCTAGGATCAACGTCACCAATGAGTGTTTTGGATTGCAATTTAAATGTTTCAATTTCGATTATGTTTCAGTTTCAAGAATGTTCCTCATATATCCCAAATTGTCATGCATCCACCTGGGTACATGCAATTAGGGACAAAAACTCCTTTGGGAATACGATTTTCAATTGTGAGTCAATAGACTGTTATAGGCTAAATTAATGTCAGTTTTATGAGATATTCACACATGTTATTATTTTTTATCTGTGAATATATCAGATCACTGCTTTTACATTGATTTATCCAATGTGCATTCCACATCTGGACCTACATCCTTATTGCTTTATTTATTAATACAAGCTCCCTGTCCAACCTGGACAGAGGTAGACGTAATATAGTAAACGAAAATCAGGGACACTCAAATGAGTATGATACATTATGTTTGGTTTGGTTTGGTATGTATTCGTTTGTGGATGTCCATCATCGATTTCGTATGATATGTTACGAATTACAATTTGCATGATATGTTACGAATTGCAATTCGTACAATATGTTACGAATTTGCTATCCATATGATATGTTACAAATTCCAATTTGTTGTGGCTAACGTTAGCTAGGTGGCTAACGTTAGTTAGGTGGCTAACATTAGCTAGGCTATGGGTTAGGAGTTAGGTTAAAGATGAATGTTATGGTTAGGGGAAGGGTTAGCTAACATGCTAAGTAGTTGCAAAGTAGCTAAAAAGTAGTAGGCCTAAGTAGTTGCAAAGTTGCTAAATAGCTAAAATGCTAACGTTGTCCTTTGGGTTACTAGACATTCGCATTATACGCCCACCCATGCACCCTGACCAACCACTTTCTCGTTTTTATCATACTAATTTGAGCGTCCCAGATTTTGATTTACTATGTTACGTCAAGTCTATGAGACCAGCCTGCCCTGTCACTCCTAGACGCTACAGAAAATACTTGAAATGTATTTGTCGCTCGTGAGAAGTCCCACCTCTGAAGTGCTATGGTTGGTTCAATACAAATGGCTTAAATTTAGCCTACCTGATTGGATGAGAAAGCTTTCTGTTTTGGTTGCTTGCCAGCAGCCGTCTGGAAGGGGAGGGGTGCTGTCTGGCTTCCGGTTTTATGCTGAATTTGACACACAATGAGGTGCAGGGAACAACCTCGCGAAACGCCGCTGTAAATAAATAGAACAATCACTGAAGCCACAGAATCATGGAGAATCAGGTAAAGTTACTTTTATGTCCCCTCGTGAATCCTGAACTTTTAACCGAAAAAATGCTAGAAGGCTGCGCCCGGGACAGAAATGAATGCCTGGTGCTCGAAAAAAATCCTGCTAATCGAACTCATAGTTGGCTCACGAGCTTTGCTAGTTGGCTAACGTTAGCCTCACTCAGCATTGCTAGCTAGCCACACAATCAGACGTGACACAAAGGGATTTATTGCTTGCTTGTGTATTATGGCCTAGTATATTGAGAAAGTAAGACATACTTACTCCTTACCCGGTTCATAACCTAATTTAGCACGAGCTACTACCTGCTAGGGACGCTCTCGCGGCCCTTCGCTACGTAAATAGCGGCTACAAGGCACCGGTGGAAAGGGTTGCTCTTTCCAGGTCTGGGTGGAGGGGTGTGTATCTAGCGACGAGGAATTGAAAAGCGGGAATCACATCATCAGTTTAAAGATTGTGCACTAATGAAGATATTTGAAAATCGTAGATACAAATTGCGTGTGTAACAGCTAACATGGAAGAACGTCCATGCACTATGTCCACATCGATGTCCATTGACAGAGATTAGCAGGCCATCTAACTTTTCAAAATCTCATGTCAGTAACTCTGCTGTTACTCTAGGTAGGAGTTTTAATGCATGCTGACAATGAGAATGCAAACTCTATTTCCATATCAAAGTCAGTGACTCATGGCATGCACTTGTGGGAACATGTCACTGTCCAGTGTTACCGCTTTGAAGAATGGAATTCCGTGACGACAAGGAAGGACTCATATTTTTATCCTGATTACCCCGATTACCCATAGTGGCAAACAATATAAAACTATCCATCATCAACAACCATAAAACATCTAAGAAGATAGTCATTGTATTTTTGTGCATTTCAAGTTTTGTCTGTATGGTTTGAAATCTAGATCTAAACTGCCCTCTGGCTACATGCCTTATTTTTGGAAATCTCATAAAGATTGATGGGCCTTGTTGTGCATCATAACGTCTGTGCTTTGTCATTGTAGGATTTGTGCTATTATCAAAAGCACAGTTCAATTCACAATAATGCACCAAAGATGGTCATGTTCATACCAGATAGTGGTGGGATAGTGGCTTGCTTTCTAATTGGAGTAGACTAGAGTATGATCTCTGTAAGGGCTGTGGTGTCTGGTGGGGCCTGCCCACCCGTACAGAGCTCAAAGTTCTGCAGGTGTGTCTGTTCTGTTGTGGTCTGTTGATAGAGTAGTCTGTTTTCATGCACCGGAGCAGGAGAGCTGCAACTTCGTCTCTTTTGTCTGTGTGCCTCATCAAAGGAGACTTTCATATGATTTTTTTCCTTGGTCATGTTATTTTCATGGCACGTGGGGATTCATTGTTATGAGAGCCTGCTTGTCTGCCAAGGAATGCATTTCCTAGGGGGGTTCACTTGCCACAAGGATGGGGCTCAATGTATTTTGTTATCTTGTTCTGGCTGGGAAGTGAACCAAATTAAATTACAGAATGTCATTCGGTCTCTGTGAATATTCTTTAATGAATCAAGAATCTTTCTCGCATAAGCATCAGTGTAGACGGTGCTCTTGTCTTTTTCCTTGAGTCATTGTCAATGCCAACCATCTCAGACCTATTTTGTTTGTTATGATCTCTGATCTGTGAAGGTTAGTGTATGAATGGTGGGTTGTATCTTGGCTGTATTTGGTGATGGGCAGTGATCCTGTGGAGCTGGTTGGTTGATGGGGAGGGGCTCCATGGCTGCTGCACTGACCCAGGGTGTGGTACCATCTGGAGTTAAAGGGCATTACCGCCACAGAATGGCCGGGCGAGACGCCAGGGAGGGGTGTGTGTGTGAGGCTGAGAGTGCCAGACCAGCTCATCTCAATCCTGTCCCCTAATCTCTCCACTCAGTCACAGCTCATGAGCACTGCGGAAAGAAGGGGCCAAATCCCCACATTCTTCAGGCATGGACATAAAGTGCCTTTTCTGTCCCCCCCCCCCCCACAATCCCTCTTTAGTAGCTGTCCCGATCGCTGCAGCATGTCATTTGGATGTCCGTCCAACTACTATCATTTTCACAGTCTATGTATTCTCTGTGTCCATCTCAGAACAACTAACCTTTTGAAATTGTAGTATAGAATTATTTTCCTTTTCTTAAAAGGTCCAATGCAGCCGTTTTTACTCTGTCATATAATTTGTGGGTAATAATTAAGTACAGTGAGGGAAAAAAGTATTTGATCCCCTGCTGATTTTATACGTGTCCCCACTGACAAAGAAATGATCAGTCAAATTTTAATGGTAGGTTTATTTGAACAGTGAGAGACAGAATAACAAAACAAAAAATCCAGAAAAACGCATGTCAAAAATGTTATAAATTGATTAGCATTTCTAATGAGGGAAATAAGTATTTGACCCCTCTGCAAAACATGACTTAGTACTTGGTGGCAAAACCCTTGTTGGCAATCAGAGGTCAGATGTTTCTTGTAGTTGGCCACCAGGTTTGCACACATCTCAGGAAGGATTTTGTCCCACTCCTCTTTGCAGATCTTCTCCAAGTCATTAAGGTTTTGAGGCTGACATTTGGCAACTCAAACCTTCAGCTCCCTCCACAGATTTTCTATGGGATTAAGGTCTGGAGACTGGCTAGGCCACTCCAGGACCTTAATGTGCTTCTTCTTGAGCCACTCCTTTGTTGCCTTGGCCGTGTGTTTTGGGTCATTGTCATGCTGGAATACCCATCCACGACCCATTTTCAATGCCCTGGCTGAGGGAAGGAGGTTCTCTCCCAAGATTTGACGGTACATGGCCCTGTCCATCGTCCCTTTGATGCGGTGAAGTTGTCCTGTCCCCTTAGCAGAACCCCCCCCCCCCAAAGCATAATATTTCCACCTCCATGTTTGACGGTGGGGATGGTGTTCTTGGGGTCATAGGCAGCATTCCTCCTCCTCCAAACACGGCGAGTTGAGTTGATGCCAAAGAGCTCCATTTTGGTCTCATCTGACCACAACACTTTCACCCAGTTCTCCTCTGAATCATTCAGATGTTCATTGGCAAACTTCAGACGGGCATGTATATGTTCTTTCTTGAGCAGGGCGACTTTGCGGGCGCTGCAGGATTTCAGTCCTTCATGGTGTAGTGTGTTACCAATTGTTTTCTTGGTGACTATGGTTCCAGCTGCCTTGAGATCATTGACAAGATCCTCCCTTGTATTTCTGGGCTGATTCCTCACCGTTCTCATGATCATTGCAACTCCACGAGGTGAGATCTTGCATGGAGCCCCAGGCTGAGGAAGATTGACAGTTCTTTTGTGTTTCTTCCATTTGCGAATAATCACACCAACTGTTGTCACCTTCTCACCAAGCTGCTTGGCGATGGTCTTGTAGCCCATTCCAGCCTTGTGTAGGTCTACAATCTTGTCCCTGACATACTTGGAGAGCTCTTTGGTCTTGGCCATGGTAGAGAGTTTGGAATCTGATTGATTGATTGCTTCTGTGGACAGGTGTCTTTTATACAGGTAACAAGCTGAGATTAGGAGCACTCCCTTTAAGAGTGTGCTCCTAATCTCAGCTCGTTACCTGTATAAAAGACACCTGGGAGCCAGAAATCTTTCTGATTGAGAGGGGGTCAAATACTTATTTCCCTCATTAAAATGCAAATCAATTTATAACATTTTTGACATGCGTTTTTCTGGATTTTTGTTTTGTTATTCTGTCTCTCACTGTTCAAATAAACCTACCATTAAAATTATAGACTGATCATTTCTTTGTCAGTGGGCAAACGTACTAAATCAGCAGGGGATCAAATACTTTGTTCCCTCACTGTACCTTACTGTGATTGTTTTCAATAAAATGGTCTAAAAGAAACAAAAATAGCTTTATAGCAAAGAGCTATTTCTCAAGCAAGAATTTTACTAGGACTGTCAGGGAGTGGTCTGAGTGGGGAGGGGGAAACTGAAAACGAACTGTTATTGGCAGAGATGTTTGGAAATCTCTTTCTTATTGGTCTATTAACTATGATGTCACCAGGCAGCCCAAAACTCCATCCCACCAAAACAGGCTGAAATTTCAGGCTGTCTAATCAAGCAGCTTTTACACTAAAAGGCACTATCATAATTTTCACAGTATTATTCCAACCTCATAATGTGGAATTCTATAGAAAACAATAGAAAATCACGTTTTTGACTGCGCTGGGCCTTTAAGCTATACTATTTCTTTAACCAAGCTACTAACTCGTGATGAATTTTAGATGCTAGGCCTAATGTTTTCTTTGTTTAGTTTTTCTTTGCTACAGTGCCTTCAGAAAGTATTCCTACCTCTTGACTTATTCCACATTGTGTTGTTACAGCATGAATTCAAAATTGATTTTTTTAAAATCCTCACCCATCTAAACACAATACCCCATATTGACAAAGTGAAAACCATGTTTTTAGTCATTTTTCGAATGTATAGAAAAAGAAATACTAAAATATCTAATTTACATTAGTATTCACACCCCCGAGTCCATACATGCTCGATTCACCTTTGGCAGCGAATTACAGCTGTGAGTCTCTAAGAGCTTTCCACACCTGGATTGTACAATATTTGCCCATTTTATTATTTTCATAATTCTTCAAGCTCTGTCAAATTGGTTGTTGATCATTGCTAGACAACCATTTTCAAGTCTTACCGTAGACTTTCAAGCAGGTTTAAACTTTTAACTTGGCCACTCCGGAACATTCACGGTCTTCTTGGTAAGCAACTCCAGTGTAGATTTGGTCTTGTGTTGTAGGTTATTGTCCTGCTGAAAGGTGAATCCCAGTGTCTAGTGGAATGCAGACTGAACCAGGTTTTCCTCTAGGATTTTGCCTGTGCTTAGGTCCATTCCGTTTATTTTTTATCCTGAAAAACTTCCCAGTCTTTACCATTTACAAGCATACCCATAACATGATGCAGCCACCACTATGCTTGAAAATATGGAGAGTGGTACTCAGTAATGTGTTGTATTGGATTTGCCCCAAACATTGCACTTTGTATTCAGGACAAAAAGTACATTGCTTTGCCATATTGTTTGCATTATTACTTTAGTGTCTTATTGCAAACAGGATGAATGTTTTGGAATATTTGTATTCTGTACAGACTTCCTTCTTTTCACTCTGTCAATTAGGTTAGTATTGTGGAGTTACTACAATGTTTTTGATCCATCCTCAGTTTTCTCCTATCACAGCCATTAAACTATGTAACTGTTTTAAAGTCACCATTGGCCACCATTGTCCTTCCTCTCCAGCAACTGAGTTAGGAAGGACGCCTGTATCTTTGTAGTGACAGGGTGTCAATACGATACACCATCCAAAGTGTAATTAATAACTTCACCATGCTCAAAGGGATATTCAATGTCTGCTTTTTTATTTTTACCCATTTACCAATAGGTGCCCTTCTTTGCGAGGCATTGGAAAACCTCCCTGGTCTTTGTGGTTGAATCTGTTTGAAATTCACTGCTCGACTGAGGGACCTTACAGATAATTGTGTGTGTGGGATACAGAGATGAGGTAGGCTAGTCATTCAGAAATCATGTTAAACACTATTATTGTACACAGTGAGTCCATGCAATTTATTATGTGACTTGTTAAGCACATTTTGACTCCTGAACTTATTTAGGCTTGCCATAACAAAGGGGTTGCATACTTACTTATTGACTCAAGACATTTCAGCTTTTCATTTTTTATTAAAATAATAATAATTTCGAAAAACATAATTCCAGTTTGACATTATGGGATATTGTGTGTTGGCCGCTGACAAAAAAATATCTCAATTTAATCCATTTTAAATTCGGGCTGTAACAACAAAATGTGGAAAAAGTCAGGGGGTGGGAATACTTAATGAAGGCACTGTATGTCTGACCTTGTCCCTGTGTCTGCAGTGCACAGTGCAGGTGAAGCTGGAGCTAGGACACCGAGCCCAGTTGAGGAAGAAGGTGACCTCGGAGGGCTTCACCCACGACTGGATGGTGTTTGTGCGAGGGCCTGAGACTGGGGATATACAGCACTTTGTGGAGAAGGTTGTCTTCCGGCTGCATGAGAGCTTCCCCAAACCCAAGAGAGGTGGGTCGGACAAAGCATACTCTTGCACACACACACACACACGAACTTGCCTCAAACTGGTTCTGTGATTACTTTGTTTTGTTTTTGTCTGGGGAGGGGAGAGAGGATTCACCTTGACAACTTTGTCTTAACCAATATTGTTACATTTATTCTATAGTAGTGTGATGTGCAAACACACAGAAGGGCTGTAGATTATTGCCTACTACCTCTAACGTGCATGTTGCTCGGTCAGATTTTTCCAAGTGAGTGCCTTTGCATTGGCTTTTTTCCCATTCGTATTGAACTTCACCAAACATGATGTCTTCTGTGGTCTTCTCCAGACCAGGCACATCTCGCCTCATTAAGTCACTGTAAAGCTTAGGGTCACTGTCCATGATGGCGGTCATTATGGTCATTGCACAATATGGCTCCCACAAGCTTCAGGTTGTAATGACTGGCTCTCCCAGGGAGGCTGGAGCTAGTTCCCCATTAACCTTCTAGCAATGACCATTGATGTTATCCTGAATGTATGTTGCTGATGTGCCTGTGTTGTCTCTTCAGTATGCAAGGAGCCACCATACAAAGTGGAGGAGTCGGGCTACGCTGGGTTCCTCATGCCCATCGAGGTCTACTTCAAGAACAAGGTGAGAGCTCAGTCACAACCTCTGTAATGGTACTATGTTAACAGTGTCACTATCCCTCAGGATATTGGCTACTGTTACCTGTGATTCCTAATGGATTTGATTTTCTCTGGTGCTCTATATATATATTTTTTTGGGTCTATCAATATTAATGTCGTTTGATTGGTATTCAATGTGCACACATGGTTCATTTGCTGCTTTTAGTCATGTGCAGTATGTGTGGAGACACCAGGTTGAGGTGTAAGCGATACGGGGCTGTGTGTGGTGACACTGGTCATGCTAGTAGTGGGCCTTTTGCTGCTGGTCTGGCTGGTGTACTGTCTGTCTGGCTGCACCTCATGTCACTCTAGGTCCTGTTTAAAAGGGCCTACAGTTTATCTGGAATGTGTGCTGTGAATGTTTTTACTGGCCCCTGTCCTGTCCTTTATCTGTAACCCTATGACTCCTGGCATGTTCTGAAAGTGGCGGGTGAACAGAAAGTCTCAGTTTGTTTACCAAAATGTCCTACTGTTTGCCTTAGTTAAGATGAAGTTCTCTCCCAATGTAGAATGTTAGGGCTTATCAGTGTGTGTACTCCAGATATGCCTCTTATTGACTTGGCAGGGTATCGCGTATTCTTACTGTTAGCTGATAATATGCTGCTGATAAGGACTTAACAGGGCTTGGCGGTGCATGGCTAACTAGATATGTGAACTCATTATTATTTACAGGAGGAGCCTAAAAAGGTGTGCTTCAACTATGACCTCTTCCTGAACCTGGAGGGGAACCCCCCTGTCAATCACCTGCGCTGTGAGAAGCTCACTTTTAACAACCCCACACGGGAGTTCAGACGCAAGTTGGTCAAGGCTGGAGGGGTGAGATGGGGAAAGGGATACATGTGGGATGATATGGGATGAGTGGGGAGTGTTGTAGTGGAATGGCAAGAGAGAATGTACCGTGTTGTTGTTTGTCCTCAGTCTTCTGACTCTCTGTGTCTCTCAGGTCATTGTGGTGCCGGAAGGGACAGAGGCGGTGTCGAAGCCCAGTCCAGACTACCCCATGCTCCCCACCATCCCACTATCTGCCTTCTCAGACCCCAAGAAGACCAAGACCTCCCACGGGTCAAAGGTTAGCACTGTGCCTAGCCTACCACACTGATAAGGAGAAGGAGTAGGAATGTGTAACGTATTGCTCAACCAGTCAATACAGCAGAGGATAGGAGAGTAGGGTACAGTTGAGATAAGGGACGGAAAACCCTGTGTGTGTTCTTTGTTCCCCCAGCCTTTAATCATATAATGGGATCCTTTCATTAATCTAGCTGGACTTCCGCTCCATTCTCTGATCACTGATGATCCCAAATACACTGGCATGATTACAAACATCCAATCCTGGTTTAATGTTTACCACTCTGTTGAATTATCATAGTATTAACGTGGACGATCTATGTTTTGCGTATGGATACGTGCATGCATGTTGTGGAATGATAAGAATGACGGAAGGTGAATGGCAGTTCTCCAGTGGGCCTTTGGCTAAGAGTGCATTGACAGTAGAGTGATTAGGGTAGTGATGGATCAGCTGGGTTCTCTGTAGGATACATACCAGTGGCGGTCGGTGCTGTTTTTTCCTTAATGAACATGGCCTTATTTTTATTACAGCATATTGAATGACTGTCATTTATATTCCATTCACCCAGTTCAATGTAACAGCAATTGGTTTAGGCTACTACGTGATACTCACATTTTCCCTATACCTATCATGAGGTTGCTACAACCTAGCCTATGAATGAAAGTTTACAACGTAGGTGCACACAGGTCGAGAGAAATTTGAGGTGACAGACCGTGACACATTCAATACCGCCTTGCACACTCTTGCCTGCATCTAGCTGATCTAGGGTGTAACCATTAGTCCAACAGTTGCAAACAAGAGTTTATAGTGGACAAATTCTGGTATGTTTATCGCCGTTTCATTCCATTTGCTTCTGTTTAAGAAACGTAATTCAACAGAATCGGCGGAATGAATACACCCCTGATCACGCATAAACACGGTTCACTTTCATAGCAGCCACATTGTATTCCTTCTCGCATCTACGTGCTCTTCTCCTCTCACCCTTTTCCCCTTCGCTTGTGGACTTCAATGCACAACACATCAGCTGTATGTGGCCAGGCAAAAAAACCTTTCAAGGCAAACCATATCATAACTGCTACACACAGCCTACATCGTTGTCACCATATTAGCTAAAGTAACGCCATAGTCAACATATCTAATAGAACTAATGCGTTAGTAAACCCGCTACTATCATGCAGTAACGTTACAGTGTACAGTCAGTAAGCAGTTTAGCACTTACACCGGCGGGCCCCGGTTGGCAATAAATTAGTCAAACCAAAAGCTTTCCTTGACTTGGAAGAGTTTCAGTGTTATGTTGGATAGTCATAGCCAGCTAGCTAACATAGCATCCCTCTGTTTGAGCAGGGTTTCTGAGTAGGCTAAACTTGCTAGCTGCATTTACTAGCTAAGTAAGTGAGGGAAAAAATGTCTATCTCTTTCTTGCTTCTCCTTCATTTTGGAAGAAATTCATTTGTTCAAAACTGTTCAACTATTGTCTTTCTCTCTTTCAGTCAACTACTCACCACTTTTTAAGCAGTGCTAGCTGTAGCTTATGCTTTCAGTACTAGATTCATTCTCTGATCCTTTGATTGGTTGGACAACATGTCAGTTCATGCTGCAAGAACTCTTGATAGGTTGGAGGACGTCCTCCGGAAGTTGTCATAATTACCGTGCAAGTCTATGGAAGGGGGTGAGAACCATGACCCTCCTAGGATTTGTATTGAAGTCATTGTACCCAGAGGAGGACAGAAGCTACCTGTACTCCGGCTACACCATGGTGCTACCCTACAGAGTGCTGTTAAGGCTACTGTAGACCTTCATTGCAAAACAATAAATACTCGTACTAACCATACTATTTGTGACGTAAATTGAGTATGTAGTATGCTTATTGGTCATAGTATGGATATACAATGGGGGAAAAAAGTATTTAGTCAACCAAAGTAACAAAGCCTACCATCAGTAACACACTACGCCGCCAGGGACTCAAATCCTGCAGTGCCAGACGTGTCCCCCTGCTTAAACCAGTACATGTCCAGGCACGTCTGAAGTTTGCTAGAGTGCATTTGGATGATCCAGAAGAGGATTGGGAGAATGTCATATGGTCAGATGAAACCAAAATATAACTTTTTGGTAAAAACTCAACTCGTCGTGTTTGGAGGACAAAGAATGCTGAGTTGCATCCAAAGAACACCATACCTACTGTGAAGCATGGGGGTGGAAACATCATGCTTTGGGGCTGTTTTTCTGCAAAGGGACCAGGACGACTGATCCGTGTAAAGGAAAGAATGAATGGGGCCATGTATCGTGAGATTTTGAGTGAAAACCTCCTTCCATCAGCAAGGGCATTGAAGATGAAACGTGGCTGGGTCTTTCAGCATGACAATGATCCCAAACACACCGCCCGGGCAACGAAGGAGTGGCTTCGTAAGAAGCATTTCAAGGTCCTGGAGTGGCCTAGCCAGTCTCCAGATCTCAACCCCATAGAAAATCTTTGGAGGGAGTTGAAAGTCTGTGTTGCCCAGCGACAGCCCCAAAACATCACTGCTCTAGAGGAGATCTGCATGGAGGAATGGGCAAAATACCAGCAACAGTGTGTGAAAACCTTGTGAAGACTTACAGAAACGTTTGACTTGTGTCATTGCCAACAAAGGGTATATAACAAAGTATTGAGAAACTTTTGTTATTGACCAAATACTTAAACATCACCATAATTTGCAAATAAATTCATTAAAAATCCTACAATGTGATTTTCTGGATTTCTTTTTCTAATTTTGTCTGTCATAGTTGACGTGTACCTATGATGAAAGTTACAGGCCTCTCATCTTTTTAAGTGGGAGAACTTGCACAATTGGTGGCTGACTAAATACTTTTTTCCCCCACTGTAGTTAGTATGCCAAAAGTTCCCGGATGTTGTACTAAATTTGCCAAAATACGAAGTATACAAGCAGTGGACACTATTTCCGTATTTTCGGGCCCATAATGCAATTCTTCAGAAAATTGGCGTGGCTTCACAACGTTTTCAGATTTGAAGAAAATGCCTGAAAATTTGCAGCCGAAGTCCGACGAGTGGATACAAATTCATCCCTTTAACTAATTATGACAAATGTTGAGCAATGTCTTTTCAAATAAGTTACGTTACACGTTATGTTGGCTGACAATTTGTTAGCTACGCTATCCTTACGAACCGCATAGCATTACAGTATGTTAGCTAGTTACCGTCCTAAGGTTAGTTGGCTACTAATACATCGAACTTGCCAGGCAGTATATTAACTATAACTGAACTACATTTACATTTTAGTCATTTAGTAGACGCTCTTATCCAGAGCGACTTACAGTTAGTGAGTGCATACCTTTTTTATATTTTATACTGGAATCAAACCCACAACCCTGGCGTTGCAAATGCCATGCTCTACCAACTGAGCTACATCCCTGCCGGCCATTCCCTCCCCTACCCTGGACGACGCATGGCCAATTGTGCGCCGCCCCATGGGTCTCCCGGTTGCGGCCAGCTACGACAGAGCCTGGATTCGAACCAGGATCTCTAGTGGCACAGCTAGCACTGCGATGCAGTGCCTTAGACCACTGCGCCAACGTTTATTGTCTAGCTAGTCATTTGTTATGCTAACAAGCTAGCAAGAGGTTACATAGCAACAGCATCAACTTCGGATAGACAGGTGAAGCGCTTGTATGCTCAACTGAAAGGATACCATTCGTTTACAGTATACTAAAATTAACTTATAGTATGTAGTTATATACTCATTATGTAGTATACAGTATGTTAGTATGGGTATTCGAACACAGCTAATGTGTTTTAATCAATTATTTGTTGACGTGAATATATTTCGTATAGTTTTATCTAAAAAATGATAACTTTAAAAAAATGTTTTACAGTTTCTATTTTTATGAATTTCACTGAGGTGGATGGTCCTCCCCTGAGGAGCCTCCACTGATATACATACAGTATATACTGTATCACTGGGTGTACAAAACATTAAGGACACCTTCCAAATATTGAGTTGCACTCCCCTTTTTTCTCTCAGAACAGCATCAATTCGTCGGGGCAAGGACTCTACAAGGTGTTGAAAGCATTCCACAGGGATGCTGGCCCATGTTGACTCCAATGCTTCCCACAGTTGTGTCAAGTTGGCTGGATGTTCTTTGGGTGGTGGACCGTTCTTGATACACACAAGCAACTGTTGAGCAAAAACCCAGCAGCGTTGCTGTTCTTGACACAAACCAGTGTGCCTGGCACCTACTACCATACCCTGTTCAAAAGCACTTACATCTTTTGTCTTGCCCATTCACCCTCTGAATGGCACACATACACAATCCATGTCTCAATTGTCTCAAGGCTTAAAAATCCTTATTTGACCTGTCTCCTCCCCTTCATCTACACTGATTTGAAGTGGATTTAACAAGTGACATCAATAAGAGATCACCGCTTTCACCTGGTCAGCCTATGTCATAGAAAGAGCAGGTCTCCTTAATATTTTGTACACTCAGTATATAGAGAGAGTAAAGCACAATTAAATGCTCTTACACATCTTTATTTGTTGACAATCAAGAAAGGTATGTGGCGGAGCATATGGGCCCTACTTCACTCTATTACGTATTATTCCATCCCAGCACATAATTAGAAAGTGATTGTGTGTTTAATATCGTCCTATTGTCCCTGTCTTTAGGAGCCCAGTAAAGAAGGCAGTGGAGGCAGCAGTAAAGGGCCCAAGCCCCACAAGCTGACCAAGGAGCACCGCGAACGCCCCCGCAAAGACTCTGAGAGCAAGGCGGCGTCTAAGGGTGACAGCGACCGCGACGGGGGAGGAGGGGGTAGCAGCAAGAGCGCCCGTGAGCCATCTTCCTCTTCCAAGAAGCCAGCAGAGCTCAAAGTCAAAGACGAGGGCAAGGTCCTTCCGAAGGCCGCCTTCAAAGAGCCCAAACTCACACTGAAGGAGGCCAAGATGGAGGGCATGTCCCCCAAAGGAGGGGGCCCACTGGAGTCCAAAGCCCCCGGGAAGCGGCCCTCCACCGCGGAGTCTCCCAAACCCAGCGCCAAGAAGCCGAAGAAGGGCAGCTCGGAGGGATCTAAGGGGGCAGCTGCAGTGCCCTTCACCGGAGCCTCTCCCCGGGTCACTTCATCATCTGCAGTCGTCCCAGGCTACCCAGAGAAGAAACCCCCCAAGAAACCCCCCAAGAGCAGCAAGGCCGACACTCAGGAGGCCAAGGAGCCCAAGAAACTGCCTGAGTCTGACGACTCCAACTCTGAGGATGAAGCCTCCTCCAAATCAGAGCAGTCAGTCCCCTCCAGTCCCTCAAACTCCACCTCCAGCTCTGACTCCAGCTCAGAGTCTGATTTTGAGCCTGGACAGAAACAAGGCCAAGGTATGTCCACTATGACCATCTCTTGACTGGGATCTACATCCATTGGAGATGAGATTGACAGAATCTGATTCTGATTTCATGTTTGTCCTTCTTTTAGACTAAGCTATCCAGATGTTTAGTTGATGGTTGTGATGCATACATGTGCACTACCAGTCAAAAGTTGGACACGCCTACTCATTCAAGGGTTTTTCTTAATTTTTTACATTGTAGAATAATAGTGAAGACATCAAAACTATGAAATAACACATATGGAATCATGTAGTAACCAAAAAAGTGTTAAACAAATCAAAATATATTTTATATTTGAGATTATTCAAATAGCCACCCTATGCCTTGATGACAGCTTTGCACACTCTTGGCGTTCTCTCAACCAGCTTCACCTGGAATGCTTTTCCAACAGTGTTGAAGGAGCACCTGTTGGCTGCTTTTCCTTCACTCTGCCGTCCAACTCATCCCAAACCATCTCAATTGGGTTGAGGTCGGGTGATTATGGAGGCCAGGTCATCTGATGCAGCACTCCATCACTCTCCTTCTTGGTAAAATAGCCCTTACACAGCCTGGAGGTGTGTTGGGTCATTGTCCTGTTTAAAAATAAATGATAGTCCCACTAAGCCCAAACCAGATGGGATGGCGTATCGCTGTAGAATGCTGTGGTAGCCATGCTGGTTAAGTGTGCCTTGAATTCTAAATAAATCACAGACAGTGTCACCAGTAAAGCACCATAACACCACCTCCTCCATGCTTTACGGTGGGAACTACACATGCGGAGACCATCCGTTCACCCACACGGTTTGAACCAAAAATCTCAAATTTGGACACCAGACCAAAGGACACATTTCCACCGGTCTAATGTCCATTGCTTTTGTTTCTTGGCTCAAGCCAAGAAACAAAAGCAATTGGTGCGTTCACCCTATAGCCAGTGGGATAATCACTTTACAAATTTTATTTTTTTATTTTTTTATTATTATTTTTTATTTATTTATTTTTTATTTATTTTTTGGGGGGGGGTAGAAGGATTACTTTATCCTATCCCAGGTATTCCTTAAAGAGGTGGGGTTTCAAATGTCTCCGGAAGGTGGTGAGTGACTCCGCTGTCCTGGCGTCGTGAGGGAGCTTGTTCCACCATTGTAGTGGTTCTACAATTCCACTTTTAGTAGTGGTTTCTTTGCAGCAATTTGACCATGAAGGCCTGATTCACACAGTCCCCTCTGAACAGTTGATGTAGAGATGTGTCTGTTACTTGAACTCTGTGAAGCATTTATTTGTGCTGCAATTTCTGAGGCTGGTAACTCTAATGAACTTATCCTCTGCAGCAGAGGTAACTCTGGGTCTTCCATTCCTGTGGCGGTCGTCATGAGAGCCAGTTTCATCATAGCGCTTGATGGTTTTTGCAACTGCACTTTTTCCGTATTGACTGACCTTCATGTCTTAAAGTAATGATGGACTGTCGTTTCGCTTTGCTTATTTGAGCTGTTCTTGCCATAATATGGACTATGGTCTTTTACCAAATAGGGCTATCTTCTGTATACCCCCCTACCATGTCACAACACAACTGATTGGCTCAAACGCAAAAAGAAGGAAAGAAATTCCACAAATTAACTTTTAAGAAGGCACATCTGTTAATTGAAATGCATTCCAGGTGACTACCTCATGAAGCTGGTTAAGAGAATGCCAAGAGTGTGCAAAACTGTCATCAAGGCAAAGGGTGGCTATTTGAAGAATCTCAAATATATTTTGATTTGTTTAACACTTTTTTTGGTTACTACATGATTCCATAAGTGTTGTTTCATAGTTTGGATGTCTTCACTATTATTCTACAATGTAGAAAATAGTAAAATAAAGAAAAACCCTTGAATGACTAGGTGTGTCCAAACTTTTGACTGGCAGTGTACATTTAGCAGATGTTCTCTATTGGTGTGTAAATCTACTCTAGGCCCGCTGCGCTCTATGGTGGAGGACCTACAGTCGGAGGGGTCAGATGATGACGACAGCAGCTCAGAGGAAGGGACGCCTGTCAAGACCAACCCGCCCAACCGTGACTCTCGGTAAGATTCTGATTCTCCTCTCTCATTCTCTCTCTCTAATGCTCATTATATCTCCAAGTTTGTTGCTTACTCTTTCTTTTCACCTATGATGCTTCTCCAATTAGTTTTCACTGGTTATCCTTGGCTATGGATGTTTGTGTTACTTATGAGACACAGTGGGTCAGTATGTCTAGCACATAAGCCCATACTTGTGTTCGCTGTCGTTTATAGGTGTTACATAGTTTTTGAAGGAAATCTGTAAATCATTTTAATAGTTGCAGTTATTGAGTCAACACAAACCCAGACTTGAAGTTGTGCTAATCCCTTCACCAAAAAGTGTTCCCACCCACATACCCAGGCTCCCTGTGCTAAACAGGGCACAATGAGCGCTGTCTGACCTTTGCCCTCCTGTTCCCTGTCAGACTGAGCCTGGACAGCGAGAGTGACAGCAGTGACGGCTCGCACCGCCCCAGTCGAGACCCGGCGCCGCCTCCACAGAAACACAGCTCCTCCAATAACAAGGTAAAACACAGACTGAGGAGCACTCCCAGGATGGTTTTCTCCATTTCCATCTCTAGTGTCGCTCTTCTGACGAAGCGGCATCATTAATGATTGTTACTCACTTAACCAGGTTTACCTCTGCACATGTACTTTATTGACGTTTCGGTCATTACCGGTAGTTTATCATTGATGGCTAAGCAATGGGTTTTATATTCCTAGCACCACAGCACCACACGTATTCCTAGCACCACAGCACCACACGTATTCCAAGCACCACAGCACCACACGTATTCCTAGCACCACAGCACCACACGTATTCCTAGCACCGCAGCACCACATGTATTCCTAGCACCACACACGGACTGTGGTGGTGTGTGTCCATTTGCTCTCCTAAAGCACCATCCTTCCCATTATCTGTTTATCCTTCTGTCCTCTCCGTCTCTCTCTGTGGTCTGTCTATCTCTGAGCAGGTCTTGGGCAGGAAGAGCCCAGACATCTGCAGCCGCCCAGAGAAGGTGCTCAAGAAGGGATACGACAAGGTAGGAAGGGTAAATATTCACACTTTTTTTATTACCTTTTTTCTTATGTCTCTTGTTCAAACATCTATCAAGTAATTATATTACCAGTGCAGTGTTCAATATACTCTAGTTCAAATTCTACAATACTGCTTTATCACCACTATTCTAGAGATCACTACCAGCTTGTCACTCCACATTCTTCCTGGTGTAAAACTCACTCAGACAGATGCAGGAGACAACACTGGTTAATCAGTAATCACATACTGAATGGAACTGTTCTAATAATAGGTAACTCACTAAGCACTTATCCACTAACCACCACCTCTCCTCTCCAGGCCTACACAGAGGAGCTGGTGGACCTCCACCGCAGACTAATGGCTCTGAGGGAGCGCAACGTCCTACAGCAGGTATGTGTGTGGTTGTGTTGACATATGGAAGTGTGTGGCGTATACATGTGTTGTCATGCCACAGTTCATGCTATTTTGTATGTTATCATCAATGGGATTTTATGTTCATCTAAACCCGGGTCTTACCCTCCTCTCCTCTCTTCCCCCAGATAGTGAATCTGATCGAGGAGACGGGCCACTTCAACGTGACCAACACCACCTTTGACTTTGACCTGTTCTCTCTGGACGAGTCGACCGTCCGCAAACTACAGAGCTACCTGGAGACCACGTGACAGGAAGCCTGCAGCGCAGAGGACCGCGGCGGGGCCGATGCTGGGCTGCTCTCTCTCCTCAGCCCTTGGACCCCCACTGGGGGGGTCTAGCAGTAGCAGAGCTACAGAACAACAACAGAACACACACTTTCACTATTTGCTGGAGAAGAACAGAATGGAGGAACAGGACGAGGGGAGGAGAGAGGAGGAGGTCAGAGTGAGAGAGAGAGCAGCTATTCCACTGTCCCTCTAACCTGGACTAGACTGGACTGGACTGAAGGACCGGACTATAGGAGCTGGCCTGTCTGGACTGGGACTGGCAGGAGATGTATTATATATGTTTCTTGTGCAGAGCAGCCTGTGTGAAGAACTGTGGAATGCGACCGCTCTCCTCTCCCTCCCCCTCTCGCCTCACATCTAGCCATGGCAAACCCAATACTTCCCTCCTCCTCTCCTTCCTCCCCACTCACACTCTCTTACTCGGCACAACACTCCTCCCCTCCCCCTCCTCTCAGCTGGAGTTCATTTCTCTGTAGGCATATTCCTGTCTATGCATGCGTTCGTGTGTGTGTGTGTGAGGGAGTGTGTGTCTGTGTGAGCATTTCAGAGGCTTTAGGGGGGATGATGTCTTTGGTTAGTGACTTTTTCAGTGTTCTTTAAGCTAGCTTGAGCACAAGCAACAGCCCTTACACACACACACACACACATACACAGTGAGAGTCATTTGGGTCCCATGCCAGGGTGACTACACACACAGACACTAAGTTGTGTATGTGCCTGTTGGTGGTAGTGTTTTGGATGGGGTTCATCTCTTGTCAGTTCAAACGTCCCTCCCTCCTTCCATCTTGATGTGCATGAAAGGGCTCAACTGCTCGGGGAAAGAGATGTGGAGGATCACTTCTGAATTGCCTTTTTTAGTGGTGGGGGGTAAAAAGCCATGACAAGTAGCCATAGTCTCCCAGATCAAAAAAAAAAAAAAGGGTCCACGCTTTTTAATTTTTTTTTGTACTGATACGTTTGGAGTAGTTTTGGGGATTGCGGTTCAGATACCTGTGAGCTATGAATGTATTACTGTTCATTTTCTAGGGCTAGCAACAAACCTATTATCTTCTTAGTGCCTTTATGTGTTGGCCAGTGTGAGGAGGGTCCACTGACACTGGTTAAAGAGCAATGTCCCTCCCCTGACTGTGTTAATTGGGAAGCCTGAAACTCCAGTTGTCATAACAGTGCCCTCTTAAAATCCGTTGATGCTCCCAGTGGGGTTTCTCTGCAGATTGCAGGCTTCTTCCAGTGATCTATCTCTGCTATTATTAGGAACACAAGCCTTCCAGAAATCCTAAGACTCTGTTCATCAGCAGTGGTACTTTAGGGAAAGTTCAGGCGTCTTCTCCAAAGGATTGCCTTGTTTCTTTCCAGGTCCTAATGAATGGTTATATAGCTCATATTCTGTCCTGTCTGAGGTTTAGTTTTCTATGGATAGGGACAGTGCCAGACCAGGCCTCTGTCAGTCAGTCAGCCTGCTAGGCATGTTTCTCTTACTGTGGCCCCTCTTGCCTTCACTTCCACTGTGGTTTCACACTCAGACTAACGGTAAAGTCTTCTCTTCGGGTGCTCCCACCCCGCGCCCCTCACTTTCTTTTTGTTTCACCTAGTGAACAGCTGTATTTATTTTGATGATAATAGCTTTAATAGTTGTGTCCATTCTGTTGCCTGGCCCTGCAAAGTGCACACACACCTCTCTGCCCCTTCTCCTCTGTGAGGGTGCTGTGGTGTTGAGGACTGAATGTGTGGATCTGTTCTAGAGTGAAACAACAACCGCCTTATGTTCCTCTCAGCATCCACTCTGCTCTGTCCACCACCCCTTTATTTGTTAGGGTGTGCCTATGTCAACAAGTCCCTGCAAGTGATTTTTAAAAGATGAACTTTGCAACTGTGTGAGTGTGATGGGTTGTGTGTGTCAAGCGAGAGGAACGTTCTTGTCCTCTTGTGTGTGTGAACTTTTAACTCCCCAGTCCTAGTTCATGAACTCTGACCCTTGACTGGGCGCTCAGTTTGTCTGTTGTGTCATGGAGTGGGGTCATGAGGGTGGGGGGGGAGGGTTGGGGTAGGTGCGCTGAAGGGTTGAGTGGCAGGCAGCTCTGTGCAGCTCTTCTAGAGAGAAGCCCCACCAACCGTCTACCAACAGTCAATCTTTTATTTATGTACCTCTGCACTTTTGGCTGTGGTGACTTCAGTACTTAAGTAATTATCTAAACTGTATTTTAAAGAATTTTATACAATATTTACATGCAATACAAATTGAATAGATTTTTTTGCCAACCTTTTTAAAAATTATTTAAGTTTTTATTTGAATTGGCATGTCATTATACATACAGAAACATGCTGTCAATTCTGTTATTTTAGGCCTAATGTTGCGTCATGGAGAACTTCCCTGAATGTTGTATTGTGTATTGTATGTCATAGTTGTTGCAGTTGGACACCATGGAACAGGTGTTCGGAATATGTTTGCTGTACGAGCTAACCAAGTCTATTTCATCCAGTATACGTTTATCGAGGAGGAAAAGGTGACTTTTCAGTGAGAATAAGTATTGTTATGTGTATGTCCTATTATAATTTGAGTTTAACTCAAAGTATGAGGCAGCGTTCTATTTGTCCGTACTCTATGAGACATGGTTACGAAGCCCAGGCACAACTGTCACCCTCTCTTTGGTTAAATATTTCTCTGTATTTTTATCCAAGTGCGATCCCTTAAACTCTAAAACAATAACACCATAGGAAACGATACTAGGGTGGAAGGAAGCATTTCAATTTAATCTATATATATCAATCTATATATATATAAATGTGATTAAGTAAAAGTAGACTATCTACTGTGTGGATTTTAACAAGATACAAAGACAAAAAGCAGCGAATGGTGACTGTTCCTTCTCCTGATGCTGTTAGGAGCGCCGTTTCCTGTGTCAATGGTTGTCGTGTCTGTGACGGGGGATGGTGTGGCTGTATTTATTTATCGGGGGGGGGGCTAAAATGTGTTCAATTTATTTGATTAACGCTACCTTGGGCTGAAGATTTTGTATTTTAAACTTGGCATACGATGCCACCATGTGGCCATACAATGCAAGTTGTAATAAGGACAAAAATGTTCTTTTAATGTTCTTTTTTATTTTGAAATCATATTAAAGTCATTGAGTACTGTCTGTCGTTTCCGTGGCTCTTAGTTGATCAGTTTGAACTTCTGAACTCTGGATGGACTCCGTTGGAAGGGGTGAAGTTATATACTGTGCCTTCGTAAATTATTCAGACCCCTTGACTTTCTCCATATTTTGTTACGTTACAGCCTTATTCTAAAATTGATTAAATTGTCCCCCCCCTACACACAATACCCCATGACGTAGCAAAAACTGTTTTTTTATACTTTTTTTTATAATTTATTAAAAATAAACTTGAACACATTTACACAAGTATTCAGACCCTTTACTCAGTACTTTGTTGAAGCACCTTTGGCAGCGATTACAGCATAGAATCTTCTTGGGTATGACGCTACAAGCTTGGCATACCTGTATTTGGGGAGTTTCTCCCATTCTCTGCAGATCCTCTCAATCTCTGTCAGGTTGGATGGGGAGCGTTGCTGCACAGCTATTTTCAGGTCTCTCCAGAGCTGTTCGATTGGGTTCAAGTCCGGGCTCTGGCTGGGCCACTCAAGGACATTCAGAGACTTGTCCTGAAGCCACTCCTGCGTTGTCTTGGGTGTGTACCTTAGGGTCGTTGTCCTGTTGGAAGGTGAACCTTCGTCCCAGTCTGAGGTCCTGAGTGCTCTGGAGCAGGTTTTCATCAAGGATCGGCAGGGACTAGTCTCCCAGTCCCTGCCGCTGAAAAACATCCCCACAGCGTGATGCTGCCACCACCATGCTTCACCGTAGGGATGGTGCCAGGTTTCCTCCATACGTGACACTTGGCATTCAGGCCAAAGAGTGCAATCTTGTTTCTCATGGTCTGAGAGTCTTTACGTGCCTTTTGGCAAACTCCAAGCGGGCAGTCATGTGCCTTTTACTGAGGAGTGTTTTCTGTCTGGCCACTACCATAAAGGCATGATTGGTGGAGTGCTGCCTTCTGGAAGGTTCTCCCATCTCCACAGAGGAACTCTAGAGCTCTGTCAGAGTGACCATCGGGTTCTTGGTCACCTCCCTGACCAAGGCCCTTCTCCCCAGATTGCGCAGTTTGGCCGGGCAGTCAGCTCTAGGAAGAGTCTTGGTGGTTCCAAACTTCTTCCATTTAAGAATGATGGAGACCGCTGTGTTCTTGGGGACATTCAATGCTGCAGACATTTTTTGGTACCTTTCCCCAGATCTGTGCCTCGACACAATCCTGTCTCGGAGCTCTACGGACAATTCCTTTGACCTCATGGCTTGGTTTTTGCTCTGACATCACTGTCAACTGTGGGACCTTATATAGACAGGTGTGTGCCTTTCCAAATCATGTCCAATCAATTGAATTTACCACATGTGGACTCTAAGTTGTAGAAACATCTCAAGGATGATCAATGGAAACAGGATGCACCTGAACTCAATTTCAAGTCTCATAGCAGAGGGTCTGAATACTTATGTAAATGAGTTATTTTTTATTTTTAATACATTTGCAAAAAAATCTACCTGTTTTCGCTTTGTCATTATGGGGTATTGTGTGTAGATTGCTGACATTTATTTATTTAATCCATTTTAGAATAAGGCTGTAACGTTACAAAATGTGGGAAAAGTCAAGGGGTCTGAATACTTTCCGAAGGCACTGTAGGTCATATGGAGGTCTTTCCCGTTAAGCAGATTGTGGGGTGAATCGGGCACTGCAGAGATCAAACGGTTATGCAGACAAGGCTTATAGATTCTATTGTGTTTTCTACGTGCAATGATGCTTTGTAGTTTTTCCAATCAGCTTTTGCAGTTATTAGCGTGTTCATTTTCCCCCATAGTCTCAGGTTATGTTTTTAATACTTGAGTGGCTACCTGGTACTGTATGTTTCTCTCAAAATAATCTTAAATAGCTACCATCTAATTGAAGATTTTGCAACAGGAATAAATAACTTATTTCCCAGCCAGGTCACATACATACAAGGAACATTCAGGTTTCTCCTCTCAGCAGCTGCTAGTTTAAAAATAGCGCTGCTCATCTACTCAAGACACCCAGTGACATGCACATTTTTCTTCTCCACCCGATACTAGAAAAGCGCTTTCAAAACTCATTGAGGGGCAGGTAAAACCGGTATTCTGTGTCTTTAGTTGGCAGTCATGAACTGTCTTACATGCATTTTAAGCGATTGATTTGCTTGTAAAAAAAGCTACAGGTTTGTCAACAGCTCATGTCCTCCTGGTGTTAGGAAGTTGACTTTGCAGTTGCAGGGGGCTTCCTTGGTATGGAGCTATAACTGACTAATTGCAGTAGCTACAGCTCTTCAGTGTGTCTTTATGCCAGTACAAGCATCAACAGAAAGCTATGACACCAGTGAATTCTGCAGAAATCAGTTGGGAAAATAAAATACTGATTCATCACCTTCTCCATATTTTTGATTCAACAAACACTCTACAAGGCCACTCTTGGTAAGCTAATAGTTTATTTACAGGTCTTCCTGAAACATCAACATGGGTTTCCAGTTGTTGAGCTTCTCTCTGCTGAATATGGAAGCCCTCTAACATCTCTACAAACTGCAAAGGGCTTGACCTACTTTCGTCTGAGACAATGGAATGTTAGTGGCAACTGTTTACAAATGCGATCTTTGGATTGTATTAGGACTTAGTTATTTTTAAACGTCTCTTCAAATTCAAGTATTTCATCAAAGATAATGGTCAAAGGTGCTGGAAGCAAAAGTCTTAATCACAAATTAAACTAATTTCTTCCTATTCTAATGTACCTGGGAGTATGTTTTGCAAGTACTGATTCAAAGATCTGACAAGTGGCCCAAATACACTTAACCAGTAATAAGACACAGAAGTCCACAAGTTCTCATAACATGTACAGTAGGTAACAGAGACAGATACATGGTTTTCGAAATTCCACTCAGCATATATATATATATATATGGAGTTTAGGGAGAGTATTTGCAGTGTAATAAGAGCGAACACCAGTCCACACCTGTCTTAAGTATGATTGGATCTACAATGTTTCAGGATGAATGCTTATTTTGAAATGCTATTCAGTTTCCTCTGTATTCTCTTCTGTTTAGATTGAAGCTTACTCCAGAGAACATGTAATGAACCGGTTTTCAGAAAGACAAATTCAGTGGTGCAAGGACCAAAATATTTTCTGATCACACGCGTCTGCGTTGTGCAGGTATGCGTGAGGAAAGTGGTGGATAATTTCACACTTCAAGACAAGACTGATGATCTGTAGACTAACAAGTTCTCAAACTATTCAATGTAATAAAATGGTCCTAATAAAGACCAGAGAAGAGGAAATGTAAGCAAAACATATTTACAGTATTTAACAGTTGTCACAGCAATTTTACACAGAATTGTTATAAAACATTCCAACAAGACCAGGCAATTATGTAGGCTGTATGACACAGACTATCAGAATACATAGAACGCATTGGATACAAAACATATGGCTAAACTAATATGGCTTGAATGATATGGTTCCATAGCATGAAGAAATTAATTTGGATGCTCTCTTGAGGATAAGGTAGGTGCAGAAGTTCAACATTGTGCCATGTGCTTATGGCGCCAAGGCTTTAACAAAATCTACAACTTAATTTGTCATTGGATGTCCCAGGGCTTGTCTTGTGTTTTTATTGCAGAACTGCACGATTTAGGAGCTACAACACAATGATAGATGCACTTTCATCAAAACTCTGAAACCAGACCAACGCAGACAGAGCAAAACAATACAACAATAATAAATAGAACAATGTGTTTTCTTTCCCTGTCATTTTACTTCGTCTTTTATTTTTAATCCAGGCCAGCAAACACTGGATGTGAATAAAAACTTGCATCTACAGTTTTCAGCTCAATAATTATTTCTCATACAATGTGTGTATTTGGTCCAAGTAATTTCTGACTTTGGCAAAAATAAAAATTGTGAGTAACACTTTTCCCCAAGATTCTCCTACCATTTCCTATGGACTTTTTGGATTCTATGCCATTTAGTCGCAAGTATCACAGTAAATGAACAATGCCTCATCACATACAACTGTACTTCATCTATCGTATATTATTGTTCTTCATCACAATAATACAAATAAATAGTTGAAATCAGCTTATCAACAACTCATCTTTTAAAAAAATCCTAAAGGCTTACAATGGCTTCTCATGGATGTTTTTCCTTATATTTTGTCTTTACAACACCCACAAATGTAAACAAAAACCCAATAATGAAAGGAGGAAGCTAGCAAAACATTTTCACAGGAGAGAAACAGGAACTGAACAGGGAGTGGTTGTCTGTAAGAGGTGGTGTATGTGTGAGAGAGAGACTGTCCGCTCTGCATGTATTTTGTAGTGTTTCTCTGAATTGCTCTGCAGGGGCATTTGTCCCATGCCTATTTGGGGGGCAGGGCGTTATCAGGGGTGCTTGGGGTCACCACCTCTTTGTAGAAATTCTCTACTTGCTCTTTGTACATCTTCATGACCACCGGCCTCTTCAGCTTCATAGTGGGGCCTGAGAGAGAGAGAGAGAGACTGAGTCGGCTATATAAATCCTTCTGTTATGCTCATCAACACCCGCCACTGGATAGCTGGGGAAACTACTGAGTGATGACATAGTCTGTAATAGACAGAGAAATGTAAACAAAAACAATTATATTGAAATGTGCCATATACATCTCATTAATGGAAATGAAATGAGGCAACATTATGGAAGCTAGAGCCTAGCTTATATAATGACCTGGAAAAAACTACATACTGTAGTCCTTCAGGACCAGAAGAGAAGAACATGGCACTAAACAAACATGCACACTGTCCTCCCCAGGGCCCCTGCCCAGGCTGCTCCCCGCCCCGCTCACCCAGCTCTCCCCCGATGATGGAGAAGTCCTGGTTTAGGATGGTCCACTTCTGGATGCGCTGGGCGTTGGAGGTGGCATTCTCGTTCACGCGGTTGATACCCTCCTGGATAGCGGCATGGATGACCCGGTCACGCCCACCGGCGATCTCTGAGACTCGCGTGGCGTTGCTGCCCAGCTTCCGGCACAGCTCTATGGCCTCGGGCGTCAGCTCATCCTCAGGAGCACCAGTGTCTCCGTTCACCTGGCACTGAGGGGTAAAGAGACAGATGTTTTATTCGGGAAGAAGTCCCTAAACAAAAGAACACACATTTCCTTAGAAGGCTGTTTTGCTCATGGATGATTTCTGTTTTGTCAATCAATGCCATTAACTGACAATGATACCATAAAGACTTGCAGTTTGTGAAATGTCCACCAGGTGGCAGTGGTTAATCAGAAGTTGTATACTTTACAATAAAGAAGAATTGTGAATAACCCACTATGACAGTCTTGCCCCATCCTATGATTACATGATAAAGAGGAGATATGAGTTTACACAGCACTGTGCAATCTCTAATGCAGGCTGCATCTGATTACACATCGTATTTCTCATCTACCAGATACTCTTAAAGTGGCTGCAACTGATAGCCATGATACACAATCCTTTCAAAGAAACAACGTAACATCCCTGTTCTAAAGAAAATGTTTGTCAGAACTTGAAATATGACCTGTGGATTTGGATTCACACCGACACACAGGAACAATTTCAATTGGCTCATTCATCCCCTCTCCTCCCCCCTGTAACTATTCCCCAGGTCGTTGCTGTAAATGAGAATGTGTTCCCAGTCAACTTACCTGGTAAAATAAAATTGAAATAAAACTGAGTACTGTAGCCAACTGTTCATACCTTAATGGTGAGCAGCATGGCGAGGAACTTCTTCTTGTCTCCAATGAGCATGGCATTGCTAACCAGCGGCACGGCCTCCTTCACAGCATCCTCAATTGGCACTGGAGGGATGTTCTCTCCACCCGCTGTGATGATCAGCTCTGGACACATATTGAAACACATTCTTTATTTAGGATAAAGCAAACTTATGTGGAGCCAGACAAAATGCTATCTTCTATCGACTGAGGCTTTTATAAAACTTCAGTCTGTTCCGTTTAAAGCTGGGTTCTGATGACTGGGATAGGGTTGGAGGTATTTTGGGGATGGGGTTATAGAGTGTGTAGAGAAGACCGTACCTTTGATGCGTCCAGTGATGAAGAGGAAGCCATTGTCGTCGTGTTTGCCCAGGTCTCCAGAGTGCAGCCAGCCCTCAGCGTCCAGGGCGTCCTCTGTCTTGTCGGCCTGGTTGAGGTAGCCCATGAAGACGTGGCGCCCCCAGAAGCAGATCTCCCCGTTGCCCTCCTCGTCAGGATTGTTAATCTTAGTCTCACAACCAGGGATCAACTTCCCAACGCTGGGAAGACAAGACACAAATCACTTTAACTTCTTAATGACATACAGTACATGAAGCATTTACAACAAATACACTTTCTAAAAGCCGAGGTATGCATGTGCTTGGGCCTGTTGTAATAAATTAGTTTTGTGTCTTGAGTGAGCATGGGAATATGTCATTTCAGGCCTTGTGTGTTTAAGTGTATGTGGAGGGTATTGTTACCTGGTGAGGCGGAATGCTTCGGGCAGAGAAATGGTGTGAGGTCCAGTGCTCTCACTCATTCCGTACAGCTCGTACACTGGGATGTCCAGGCTGAGGAAGAACTCCAGGGTGTCCTTGGTGATGGGGGCGGCGCCTGTGTAACACTTGGTGCAACGGTCCAGACCCAGGGCCTTACGGACCTTCTTGAACACCAGCTTCTTGGCCAAGCGGTAGTTCATGGGCGTCCTCTCCATAGCTCCATTCCTGAGCAGGCAGAAGAGGAAGCAGGAGTTTAATACAACATCAGAACATGTCTCTCTTCATACCCCAGGCTGTAGTTCACTACTGTCCATACTGTGCTAGCATTATTATCCTGTGCGTGGGCAAGACAACTACTGATCCTGTTCTGTCATCTTTGTGACAAAGTAGTATTCGCCTTGGGGGAATCGCTCCGAAGTCAGAACCACAGAGGTGGTGATACAGGTAATGGTCTAATTAGACCACAGATCCACCCCTCCCTACTAAATAGGCCCATGTATAATACATACTGGTTCATCTTGCTGAGGTTGGTCTCCAGCCCCACTCCTTTGGCCCAGACTGCCACCTTCCTGCGCACGGTGGACGACTTGGCCCCGACGGACTTCATCTTCTCCTGCATCTTCTCCCAGACACGTGGTACGCCCATGAAGGCTGTGGGACGCACCTCTCTCATCGTGTTAACCAGAGAGCCCTGAGAACAGACAGGAAGGGAGGGAGCTCAGTCACAACATATACACACACTAAAGGGGTTTGTAGGCACAAAGTATGTGTGACTGTGTGTGTGTGCGGAGTATCACAGACACTAGCATATTGAGAAAGACAGTTCAGCTCCTGAGAATCACAGAACTGTTCAAAAGAGTTTGCAATTGCAACGTGATGCATTTAATAATGCTGGCACTTATTTTGTGAAGAAAAGCCTTTTCACAGAGAGCAGAAATACTAATGATCTGATCAATGGGGAAACAAAGAGTTGTCTTGTGTGAGGACAGGGTATCAATTTAACTTGTGCCAAAAGGCTTGTCGTAATCTTCCTCCCTTAACTGGATTACACACTAGGTTTATCGAAGACGAGGAGGACAAGGGGGAGTAAGGGACTTCATAACAGTCTTCTCAGTCAGATGGAAAAACTAGAAAAATGTCCTCTTGGGATTCTCATAAACGAGAATAGACCTCACCTTTAGTGCGTCTGGCTGGGCGAAGTATGTTGCCCCTCCGACCTTCATGGTGACCCAGATGTCCACCATCTGAGCAGCGATGTGGCTGAGGGGCAGGTAGCTGACCACTATCTCCTGAGACTTGGTGGCTTCTGTCAACCTGACATAGCGGCCTACTGCGAACGCTGTCCATGTTAGCTGCAGAGAGAGAGATGGTCATTACAACACAGTTCATTAGCAGGTAAACTCAGACCAAAGGGGGATTTTGAATAGATACAAGGCTACATCTTGATAAGCAACCTTTGATGGGTAGCAGGGGACATGTCCCACACACATTCTGAAATTGCATTTTTGTCCCCCCCAGTTTTATCATTGGAATGTGATACAAAACGAGGCAACAGTGTGCTTTAGGACCATGCGGACGCCTCCGAGCAGTCGGGTAGGCTGTTTGGAGTGTTTATCAGACAAAACATTTTAAAAATTAATGTTTGTAGTCAGTGTCACTCACATTGTCGTGGCTGAGCATCACTCCTTTGGGCTGGCCTGTGGTACCTGATGTGTAGATCAGTGTGCAGCACTGGTTGGGCTTCTGGATAGCGATGATGTCATCCAGCTGTGTGTCGGGCTCACCACGGCCCAGCTCCATAAACTCCGCCCACTGTGTAGACAATAAAGGCAGAGACATTCAGGATACAGTGGGGGGAAACAAACCTGCATAAAATGTACTGTGTTATGAACACTTCTAAAAAGACAGAAGGCATTGATCTATGTTCTATTGTTCTAAATAGTTTGACACTCCATTCATACCGTGTAGAGGTTTGGTCTCTTCTCTTTAAGTGCATCTTTGTACTGGATAATTGCTTTCAGGTGTGGCAGCTTGTCTTGAACCTGGAGGAAAAACACTCATTTTAGATATCAGCATCAGATTCCACAGGAATACACATAAACGTGAAAGGTATCCCTGAATGAATGAATCAAAGCAAATCTCCTATCCTTGCCATCCTCTAGGCTTACCTGTAGGATCTTCTGCAGCTGCTTGTGATTCTCTACCACGATGATGTTGGCCTTGCAGTTCTCTGCTACGTACTGGCAAGCCTCTGGGGAGTTGGTGGTGTAGATGCCCACTGCAAACCCACTGGCAACAAGAGAAAACAGTACAGAGAGTTATGTTGCCTTTATGTTCCATCAAACTAAAAAAGATCCCTCTCCCACAGACAGGTTTGGCAACTCTGCTAGGTAAGAATGTATTTCATAAAGTTATGATCATCATGAAAGAAAAATGCAACAAGTGAGGTGCTGATCCACCCAGAACAGTCAGTTATTGTAACAGTCTGTATCTGATCTTTATGCCAATTACACATGACAGATGTTCTCACATAACCAGTTCTGACAGTGGGAAACACTCAAAGCTCTAAATTAACTTCTATTTGTTTTGACATACTGTATTGAGTTTGGATTTCTGACCATGATCTACAGAGTTTTGGGTTCTGGTTATAGCTACTTGCTGATATAACTGAAAAGCACAAACAGAGTAGTCATCGTGTTTGGCATACCTCAGCGATCTATCAAACTGTTTAATGTGTGCAAAAGGTTCCATGCTGAATTCAAGGTCATACACTATGCTGCCCTGACAGGCTCATATGTCATATCTCATGTCTTTGGTTGTGGGTACATAAGATGCTTACACAATATAGACGGGCCTACAGTATATCAGTGACCAGGAAACACTCTGCACATCACACGTCAGGGCTAGTTTAAGTGTCCGACCCCCCCCCCCCCCCCCCCCCCCCCAGAAACAGGAGTAGAGGGACTCACCCAGCCAGAATGGCAGCAATGTCAGAAATGAACCACTCAGCAGAGTTGAAGCCCAGAATGCCGACCCCATGGTAGCGCTCCAAGCCAAGCTGTGGACAAACACACACATACATCATATGAATAGAAGCACACATACACTATATATACAAAAGTATGTGGACATCCCTTCAAAATGAGTGGATTTGGCTATTTCAGCCACACCCGTTGCTGACAAGTGTATAAAATCGAGCACAAGGCCATGCAATCTCCATAGACAAACATTGGCAGTAGAATGGCCTTACTGAAGAGCTCAGTGACTTTCAACGTGGCACCGTCATAGGATGCCACCTTTCCAAGTGGAAAGCCTTCCCAGAAGAGTGGAGGCTGTTATATAGCAGCCTCCACTCGACGAGCAGGTGTCCACATACTTTTGGTCATGTAGATCTCTATTCGCCACCTAAGAGGAACAATGCCTTTTTATATAAACGTTTCTATGGATAAGAGTTCAGAAAAGGGGAAGGTGAATCGAAGCCAAGTAAGAATTTAAAAAATGAATGCTTGAAGCACCATTGCCAGCCATAAAATGACTACACAGTGGGTCTTTCATAACAGCAGTAGCAATAAAATACTGCAACGTGATATCTGAACATCGAGGCCTGTGGTAGCAAACATGCTATAGCTGCCAGAAATACACAGTACGGCTGTTTGCCTACGTGTGTGGGTGTGTGTCAATGCAGAGTAGCATACACATTTACCAGATACACGGAAACTTGTGTTCTCCCTCTACTTCCAAGTGGACTGAGGCCATCAGGTTCAGGTTTGTAGATGTGTGGCTTCCCCTGGGCCTGAGCCAGCCCTGGCCCTCATGCTGGTGTACAGTATTGAGTTTCACAATAAACAATAGCGTGGCATGCATCTTGAGGTCGCCCCCAGCAGCACATTGCCTCTACCGACATGGCTGACATTTAATCTCACCCTACGCATGCTGCCGACAGTGACCCGGCCACCACGAGGTTAAACACACACTGATCTGAGATTAGGATGGTGGACTATGGGCAGTGAGAGGGGAAGTTATCAAAAGTCTCCTTCTAAAAAGGGCATACATCCTCCAGTCAAGGCTCTAAACTGCGACCATTTTGGTCGCATATGCTTCTAAATATTTTGCTGTGCGACCTGCCATTTTAATTTGGGAGCACCAATGCACCTAGAAAATAATATCTACCCAGATAATTGTTGTAATGATTAGGCTTCGCTGTATCTCTATTTACAAGTGCCATAGAGAATGCAGATTTGTGATCGTCGTGGTTGCACCATTACTACAGAGAAAATGGCTTGTTTCTAGCATAAACCGTTCAGAAGTTGTACCCATATTACTGGCACAACGTTTTTTTCCCCCTTCCATCACGCAATAACCATCTCATGGGCCGTTCTATTCAAGGGGCGTTGTATTCGGGGTGACCAATGGTGCGTTCTCTGGCTGAAAATCCTCTTGCCCGCAGTGACAAATTTGCTGTTTTAAAGCCAATTTCCTGCACTGTCCCTGACAAAAGAAAACTATTGTTCGAACGAGTCGTCTGTTCTTTCGACCAATCTATTGGTCTAAATTTTAAAACATGTATTTTTCCATCTATAGACACACCCTATGTGTTTCAATAAAATCAACTATATGCACCGAGCATGTCTGATGCTATAAGCACACTGTTTGATGAAACGATTAAGACACACAAATGACTCTAGAGGGAGCTAGAGATCAAGATAATAATTCACAGATTCTGCCGTTATGCTCCTGAAGTTATGCTCCTGAAGTTGCCGGTAATAGGCTAGAGTTCAACAAGGCATTCTGTTTGCTGCGAACATGTTGCCAGAGTAACAATTTCAGTTGAAGGATTTGAATGAACATTCCAAAATGTTACGGTGAAACATCAAACAGCTACTTTTTGTAAGGAATAATGTGGCTTTTTAGTGACAATATTCAACAGAAAATGTTTTAGCTATTCCTAAATGTAGTAGAAAGTCTACATGTCTACATGTTTAGACCCGAAACGGACACTTACGTTCACCACACAAACCCTTCTCAGACTGTTAGCTAACGCTAGCAAACGGATGCGGCTAACAAAACAAATGGAATATGTTAGCTAACGTTAGCAATCTTCCTTCGTGAACACACCTCAGGGGTCGGCAATCTTTTTCATGTGGAGTGCCAATTCACCTTACCATTTCTACCGATCTGCGTGCCAGTTTTGATTTTCATATACACATTTTCGGTTTCATTTAAATTATAATAACGTATTTTTATTCTATTGCCAACTAGGTCAAAATAGCCCACAAAAGCCAACTAATAAATACATCGCTGGTAGAAAATATCCTGATAAAAATATCTTATAAATCACATATAATTAAATAACCTTGAATACGCATGGAGGTTTACTCATGTTCATTCAATCGCATTCATCTCTCTGTAACAAAATTGAAACAAACTATCAACTGGGTCCGGCCCAAAGCTCACGATAGCAAATCTGCAACATTGTATCAACTATTCTGGGCCCCTCCGAGTTTCCCGTGCCAGTGTGCTCCGGACAGGCAAGAGATAAGAAGTAAATCAGGTATTTTATGAGGTTTCCACTGGATCAGAGCATTACATTTTTCCCTTTCACGCCGAGTCTCGGTGGTTGTCGAAAGGGAGAGAGCTGGATGCCTTCTATGCTCGCTTCGAGGCAAGCAACACTGAACCATGCGTGAGTGCACAAGCTATTCCGGTCGACTGTGACCACGCTCTCCGTAGCCGATGTGAGTAAGACCTTTAAACGGGTTAACATTCACAAGGCTGTAGGGCCAGACGGATTACCAGGATGCGTACTCAGAGCATGCGCTGACCATCTGGCAAGTGTCTTCACTGACATTTTCAACCTCTCCCTGACCCAGTCTGTAATACCTACATGATTCAAGCAGACCACCATAGTCCCTGTGCCCCAAAATGCCAAGGTAACCTGTCTAAATGACTATCACCCTGTAGCACTCACATCTGTAGCCATGAAATGCTTTGAAAGGCTGGTCATGGCTCACATCAACACCATCATCCCAGACACGCATACCGCCCCAACAGCTCCACAGATTACGCAATCACTATTGCACGCCACACTGCCCTTACCCACTTGGACAAAAGGAACACCTACGTGAGAATGCTGTTCATTGACTACAGCTCAGCATTTAACACCATAGTGCCCTTGAAGCTCATCACTAAGCTAAGGTCCCTGGGACTGAACACCTCCCTCTGCAACTGGATCCTGGACTTCCTGACAGGCCACCCCCAGGTGGTGAGGGTAGGCAACAACACAGCCGCCACACTGACCCTCAAAACAGGGGCCCCTCAGGGGTGCGTGCTTAGTCCCCTCCTGTACTCCCTGTTCACCCACGACTGCGTAGCTGCGCACGACTCCAACACCATCATTAAGTTTGCCGACGACACAACGGTGGTAGGCCTGATCATCGACAACGAGACAGCCTACAGGGGGAGGTCAGAGACCTGGCATTGTGGTGCCAGGACAACACCTCTCCCTCAACGTCAGTAAATCAAAAGGTGCCGATCGAGGACAACAGGAAACGGAGGGCCAAGCACGCCCCCATTCACATCAACAGGGCTGTAGTGGTGCGGGTCAAGTGCTTCAAGTTCCTCAGTGTCCACATCACTAAGGATCTATCATGGTCCAAACACACCAACACAGTCGTAAAGAGGGCATGACAATGCCTCTTCCCCCTCATGAGGCTGAAAAGATTTGGCATGGCCTTCAGATCCTCAAAAGGTTATAGATCTGCACCATCGAGAGCATCTTGACTGGCTGCATCACCGCTTGGTATGGCAACTGCTTGGCATCCGACCGCAAGGCGCTATAGAGGGTAGTGCATACGGCCCAGTACGTCACTGGGGATGAGCTCCCTGCCATCCAGGACCTCTATACCAGGCAGTGTCAAAGTAAGGCCCAAAAAATTGTCAGATTCCAGCCACCCAAGCCACAGACTGTTCTCTCTGCGACCACACGGCAAGCGGTACCAATGCACCATGTCTGGAACCAACAGGACCCTGAACAGCTTCTACCCCGAAGCCATAAGACTTCTAAACAAAATAGCTAATCAAATGGCTACCCGGACTACCTAAATGGACTTGCTCTTGCACACACACTGGACTCTACCCACATACTCACACATACTTACACCCAAACACACTTTCAACATACGCTGCTGCTACTGTCTATTATCTATCCAGTTGCCTAGTCACTTTACCCCTACCTATGTGTACAGTACATAGCTACCTCAATTCCCTCGTATTCCTGCATATCGACTCTGTACTGGTACTCCCTATATATAGCCATGTTACATATATACATATACATATATACACACAGTACAAGTCAAAAGTTTGGACACACCTACTCATTCAAGTTTTTTTTTCTTTATTTGTACTATTTTCTACATTGTAGAATAATAGTGAAGACATCAAAACTATGAAATAACACATGGAATCATGTAGTAACCAAAAAAGTGTTAAACAAATCAAAATATTTGAGATTTTAGATTCTTCAACGTAGCCACCCTTTGCCTTGATGACAGCTTTGCACACTCTTGGCATTCTCTCAACCAGCTTCATGAGGTAGTCACCTGGAATGCATTTCAATTAACAGGTGTGCCTTGTTAAAAATTTGTGGACTACCTGTGTTGGTTACTACATGATTCCATATGTGTTATTTCATAGTTTATGTCTTCACTATTATTCTACAATGTAGAAAATAGTAAAAATAAAGAAAAACCCTGGAATGAGTATGTGTGTCCAAACTTTTGACTGGTACTGTATATATTCGTTATTCACCATGTATTTATTCCTCGTGTCACTGTTTGCATTAGATTTTTTAAAATCTCATCTTCAACTCTGCATTGTTGGAAAAGGACCCGTAAGTAAGCATTTCACTGTTCGTCTACACCTGTTGCCTACGAAGCATTTGAATATAGCCATTCTCAATGGATGTAAAAACAGACTTTGTTTACCTGCCGTTTGAGGTTAAGAAAAAATTACATTGAGAAGCTCCACAGCTCATTAGTGGTGGTGAGTTAAGACAATCAGGAATACTAATCAGACATCTCCAAATGGGCACATTTATATATTTGCGCGCAGGCCAGGTAGCCTCGCAGCCTCCGCAATGGATTAGTCCACTGAGACAGGCGCTAATCCGACAGGTGTCTCTTGTGTACCATGAAAAAACAAACAATTTGCAACTGCTCTACTAAAGAAATTCACATTTTGCAATGGGGCTGAGAGAAAATGTGCAGTTTTAAAGCAAATTTCCTGCATTTCTACACATTTTGCCATGGCTTATGCTGTGTTCTTATGCCATCTGAGTGACTCAAACATAACAAAATCAATGGGGCCCCAATGCCATGACATTTTGGGCATTTCTGATTCTTCCTAACTGTCTAGTTTTGATTCTGGTGGTTGTTAATTCTCAAAAGATGATCCTATTTAAAAATATATATATAGCTCCATTATCTTTTCTACATACTGGTTTTAGTCATATAAGTTCACACCGAAAACATTTTACCATCTCAAATATATTTTTTTTTACATTTTTGGAGTGGCAGCTCAATTTAGCAGCAGCAGCCCACAGTGGATAAACACTGGATCTCTTACATGTCACCACTCACGCTCTTAAAGAGAGTGTACCATTTTCTATGTAATGCATCTCAATAGGAAATAGTGCTTTTTACAAAGAGTAGAAACCTAATATTCCACATATGACTTCGTAATTTCAATGACAGGTATCAATATTCTAGCTTTCATAATAAACACGTCTTAACAGGATTACATATTCGTTTCTAGGGCACAACACATGCTTCATAAGTAGATCAAATTCTTATCGGCCCAATCTCAATCAATGTAAAAATATATTTGGTGCTCCTAAATTGTATGATGTGCTCCTAAATTTAAGTCCACAGTGGTTCTCTTTTGCTTTTGTTTTTCTTCATATCTGGTTTGAGGATACATTGTTGCCTTGCCAACATAACTTTTTCTCATACTTAGGTTTCTCTGTTGCGATGTCGCACTTTAGGAACTGATGTCGATAAGCCTTTCTTATGACTGGAGATCTGGAGACATGAGCACCAAGAAAGTGTTTAATCAAATACAATATTCTACAGTTCTCATCTGTATGTAACCCTCAATAACTATAAACATTTGTCATTATGGGTTTTCTATTGCCACATTGTTCTGACATCCAATGTACAGCAGTCAAGTGTCAGTAGTTGATCTATGTGTTTCGTCTCACCTTGAGGAAGCTTTTGGCAGCTGTGCGGCAGGCCTGGTAGTACTCCTGGTAGTTGATTGTCTTGGTCTGCTCTCCCTCCTTCCAGCCCAGGGCAGTGTAGCTGCCAAACCTCTCCACAGAAGTCTTAAACATCTGGTCTATGGTGAGTGGGGGCTCAGAGGCAAAGCCTGACTCCCCCATCCTCAGCTTCACCTCCCCGTCACCGTACGATGTCCACAAGTCCGGCTTAGCCACCGCCAGGGACAGAGAGTCTGGCCGCTGGGCACTCACTGAGGGAGAGGAGAGAGACGGGTTTAGTTTTTTACCAAGGCAAGTCAAGTGAGAAGGTAAAAGGAAAGGTGCGTTTTGTTTTGTGATCTTTGCTTAGACTTAAACTTTGTATAGCACCTTAGAAAATAGGAATATTGAGGGGATAAATTGTGTGAGCTGATTTGAGGGCTCTCTTGCCCTATCCTGCCAGTTTGGTGATGGTGATGGGCATACATTGATTTGCCTGTGTCTGCAGGCAAATCAATCTGTCAGATGGATCCCAAACCTGTCAGGAAGTCAAACTAATCACTTTGAATGGCGTGCCTCCTGCTTACACCGGCACTCACAGAAATGAGCTTAGACCCTCTTTCGGGACAGGATGGAGGCTGCTCTGACTTCTGGTCTTAAATCTCAGTAGCAGTTTGTTCTCGTGTTTCCTCCTCTTTTACATTTTTGTCATTTAGCAGACGCTCTTATCCAGAGCATCCATTATTTTTTCCCCCCACACTGTCAGGAATACTAATCAGACAAATGGGCACATTTATATATTTGCGCGCAGGTAGCTTTTGTCTGCATTGTTGGTGGAGAGCCAGATGCAGTGGGTTTAGGTGACCCTGGCCTGGACCCCAGTCTCTACCAGTACACACACACAGGGCCCAGCCCCATATGAGATGCCAATCAGCACACAACGCCAGACACCACAAGGGAGGGCCAGAGAGGGGATCTCAATTACTGCCTTGGCAGCCCCTACAAAGCCCAGGCACACAGACCTCACAAGGAGAGCACTCACTAAAAGGCACTAACAAAACAGCAGGGACTATTATAGACAGTTATTTAGTTATTTTAACCCCTCACACTCGTGGGAATTGGCCTATATGGATTTGGCTAAATTGAAATGTTTCTTACAGAAGAAATATGGAAAGCATATGCATAACCATGTTAGCAATTAAAAAGGAACAGTTTGGAGATTATGGGAAAATTCTTAGACTAAAAAAGGTGAGGACACAACAGTTCACCTGACAAGACTGAATCCAAACATTACACTGTTGATTTTATGTGCATTTTACATTTACTTTTCACCTCATTTGTTGATAATGAAATCTGAAAATACTCTGGATACATTCAGTAACATAAGAATATTCCTGGAAAATGTGGGGTAGGTGCAACACAAGACAAAAAAAATGACAAGGGTTTGAGTGAGAGGTCCAACTGGTGTTTCCAAGTGGCTACACCTCTCCAAAGTGTGCACAGTTCTTAAGTAATTTCAATGCACTTTTATGACTAAAAGAAGAGTCTTCAACCATAAAGGTGCTTTTCTTTTTAGCTCTCCAAGCTGTGCCGTTGAGGAACTAGAGCAAGAAAACGTGTAGTTATTTTGTTTGGAACACAGCCCTGCATCCCCACTTTACACAATTACTGTTGTTTGCGCAATCAAAAAACGGTCCATTTGAAATATCAATCTTGGTCAGGTGGGCATAATTTGAAAGCTTTAGTTTATTTTATTTATTCGAACATTTAAAAAAACAAGCACACAAAAAAACTTGAAAAAGCCATACATGCACATGAGTAAAATCATCGAGGATAACATACAATAAAGTCTGGGACTTATTTCCATTGTGGTCCTCTTAAAAACAAGATGGCTAGGCAAGATGGAACACAGTTGAACACAGTATGACAGCAAGATAATAAAACAAAAAACTAAGAAGAAGAACATCTCATCATTGCAGTTACATCATAGGGGTCATTCATATGGGCACAGAAGACATCAAACAGTTTTGTAACTTCATTTTTAAAGTTGCCCAGTGAGGACGTCATTTTTATGGGCAGATGCAACTCATTCCACTCTGTGGCTCCAGTACACAAGAAAGTACCTTTCCCAGCATTACTCCTGAACCTGTATAAGCACACATTAGCAACACCTGTTCTGCTGCTGTGATTGTGTGCATCCTTAACACGGGGAAAGTAATCAGTTAGATATCTGGGCGCAGAACCATAAATACTCCTGTAAACCAAACCCAGTCTAATATCTGGGACACCCTAGCCTCAACAGGCAGCCAGTTGAGTTCCTGAAAGAAGCTCCTGCCTATGTGAGTACGTGGACTCACCTTCAATACTACGCTGATCAGCTTATTCTGGAGCTTCCCCTTCATAAAGCTTAGATAAGCCCGCAAACCAGGAAGAACTGGCGTAGTCAAAATGGCATTGAATGAGGGCAGTGGCTAGTCCTTATCAAGCAGCTTTGACTTTCTAGCCAAAAGCTTTGTCCTGACATTAACCTTCCCTAGCACTTTAGTGGCCATGCTCACACCTCCCAAGCTTCCATCAAGGATGAATTGCAGGTTGCTAACAGAGGTTTTAGTAGTCAGCACCTCACCCCCTAACTCCACTCTGATTTCAGAGGACCTACTCAATTTAGGTCTGGATCCAAAAATAAGTGCAGAGATAGCTTGTTATCTCCAAGACATTTGCTAATGTTAGTAAGCTCTGTGCTAAGTATGCTCTCCAACATAGTTTTACTTTTGTGAGACACCAGAAGTGAAGAGTCATCCGCATAAAGAAAAAGACAGCAAGAACAAGCATCTTTCATATTGTTAATATACAATAAAAACAGTAGAGGCCCAAGCACGCTCCCCTGCGGAACGCCACAACTTATTGGTTTTGCCTGAGACAGTGAACCATTAACTTCTACTACTTGCTCCCTACCTGATAAATAGGACTTTACCCAGCCTAGAGGGATACTGCTTAACCCCAGTGCCTCCAGTTTGGAGATTAGGAGACAGTGGGTAACTGTATCAAAGGCCTTCTGTAGGTCAAGCAGTACCATTCCACAGAGATTTCCCTCATCAATCTCTTTCCTGATGAAGTCAGTCAAGTAAAGTAGACATGAATCTGTGGAGTATGTTTTTCTAAAACCCGACTGACAATCATACATTAGACTTTGTTTGTTGACATATTCATACATCTGCTCATGTACAACTCTCTCCAGGATCTTTGATGTTATACTGAGGATAGATACTATAATTCCCAGGGTCAGACTTTATCCCCTTCTTATACAGAGGTATAACTTTAGTGTGTTTCATGTCCCTGGAAAGATGCCTTGTTCAAGAGAGAGGTTAACGATGACAACACAATTTCGAGACCTTCATAGAATGCATTCTGATTGGGCGGCCTGTAACACACCCCCAACAAAATCGGCTTGGTTTTGGGAAGGCAGATATCCAGCCAGACAATCTCCAGATCAACGCTTAAATCCTATCTGACGTTATAAGCAATGTCTGATCTTAAATAACATTTACATTTTAGTCATTTAGCAGACGCTCTTATCCAGAGCAACTTACAGGAGCAATTAGGGTTAAGTGCCTTGCTTAAGGGCACAGACAGATTTTTCACCTAGTCGGCTCGGGGATTAGAACCAGCGACCTTTCGGTTACTGGCACAAAGCTCTTACCCACTAAGCTCTTACAAACGCACATATCCCCCCACCGTTCCGATTCTTCCTGACAGAGTAATTGCCTATCTCAATTTCTGAGTCACAAACAGATGAATCCAACCATGTCTCTGTAAAACATAAGACACCCACCTCTGATTTGCGAAACAACAGGCGTATCTCAATCTTCGGTAGTAGGCTTTGGACGTTTAAGTGCACAAAATGTAAACCTTTCTTCCCTAAGGCCTCACTGAATTCCCAATCCACTTGTAACTCGCCTCCCACTGCACTGCCTACGGTGGCCTCTCTGCCACCATGGAGCACACGTCCCCAGGTGCTGCTCCGTCGTCCTCACCACCATGTCCCCAGTCTCTCGCCTCTGGTGGCCTCCGCGCCGCTGCGGACCCCCCCTCCTCTTGTGCACTCTCCGTCCTAGGTAAGTCCTCTGGTCCCACTCCACCTTCAATACTCACACACTACGCGGGTACAGCATACAGACAGCAAAGGTAATTTTCATTGACCCCATGCCCAAAGCTAGGCGTTGCATTTCAGATGAATCCACTGCGCGCATTCCAAACATACCAGAGCTTTGCTGTTACTCTTAATCCAACGTTCGCAAGAGGAGCATGGGCATTGATGGTGTTTGTGATAAACTGAGGTCCAGGGCATTGATGGATATCACCCGATAAGAGAAGGCATAGAGTTATTATAAGATCGCCACCATTAATTTGAGATTTCAGACTGGCTTTCGATGATCGTTTTGGTTTGTGCCAAGGTGCTATGAAAGTTTGGTAAAAAGAATTCCTTCCAAATCCGAAGTGCTGGATGCAATCAAGTGTTGGCATGACTGAGAAATTGCAGATGCAATTATTTTCAGTGATATAAAAAAAATAAGAAAAGTGCTGCCACCATGCCGAACTTGCCGGTCGCCATTTTGTCTACAAGCTTGTTCTATTGCCAACATGACTAGCTAAATTATAAAATACGATACTAGAGTGTTAGGCTTTCAAAAGGCAATTCAGAGACGCAGATCGTAATTTTGGGGCACATGTCATGAGCGCATTCAGATGCGTGGTCAGCGGCAAAGTTTCTTCACAATACAACAAAACATACTGTAGGCTCATTCTGTTCATGACTACCCAGGGTATAACGCCATTTCATCTTGTAACTATACTGAACAAAAATAAAACAACATGCAACAATTTCAAGGTTTTACTGAGTTAAAGTTCAAATAAGGAAATCAGTCAATTGAAATAAATTCATTAGGCCCTAATCTATGGGTTTCACATGACTGGGCAGGGGCGCAGTGGGTGGGCAGGGGCGCAATGGGTGGGCCTGGGAGGCAATATGCCCACACACTGGGGAGCCAGGCCCAGTCAATCAGAATGAGCTTTTCCCCACAAAAGGGCTTTATTACAGACAGAAATACCCCTCAGTTTCATCAGCTGTCCAGGTGGCTGGTCTCAGACGATCCCGCAGGTGAAGAAGCCGGATGTGGAGGTCCTGGGCTGGCGTGGTTACACGAGGTCTGCGGTTTTTGGACGTAATGCCAAATTCTCTAAAACGACGTTGGAGGCGGTTTATGGTAGAGAAATGAACATTCCATTCTCTGGCAACAGTTCTGGTGGACATTCCTGCATTAAGCATGCCAATTGCACGCTCCCTCAAAACGTGAGACATCTGTGACATTGTGTTGTGTGACAAAACTGCACATTTTAGAGTGGCCTTTTATTGTCCTCAGCACAAGGTGCACCTGTGTAATGATCATGCTGTTTAATCAGCTTCTTGATATGCCACACCTGTCAGGTGGATGGATTATCTTGGCAAAGAAGAAATGCTCACTAACAGGGATCAAAACAAATTTGTGCACAACATTTTAGAGAAATAAGCTTTTTGTGCGTATGGAACATTTCTGGGATCTTTTATTTCAGCTCATGAAACATGGGACCACTTGTTGCGTTTCTATTTTTGTTCAGTATACATCACAGTGATCATAAACGTTGGCACTATATTACATGAGTTTTATGACATGGAAATGTGAAGTGCACATTTGGACTTGCTTGTATGACATCAAAGCAGTATTTATTATAATCCACAACGCCTCATCTTTCAAAATACATCAAGTCCTTGTAATTTACAGCATCCCCCCCCCCCCCCCCCCCAGAATTTGAAAAAGTTGCCAAATTATCGGGAGGGATGGGGGCATGGTGCTCAAATTCAGAACGTCTGGCAGTCAAAACCCATACAGAGCTGTGAAGCGGAGACCCTGAGCTCTGACGTCATGTATAACATGTTACTGTACAGCCACTGCGTTCCAATTTAGGCCCTTATCAATGACTAAATCTGCCATTTTCAACCTGTATACAGGTAGGAGTGTAAAGGGTTAATGGGGGCCATTTGCCAGAGACAAACAGAAGCTCTAACTCACCTAGTACTATTAGCAATCACGTTTGAGTCTTAACAGCAATTTTGCAAAGGTCACTATGATAAGACTAGAACTATAGATAATCCCTGTCAATATTTTGAAGTGCGTGAAAGCTTTACTTAGATAAGGGGACCTACTCTCTCCCATGTTCTGTGTCGACTATGAAGCCTTTGAAAAGCACTATAAAATGAAAAGATCAACAGTGAGTGAAGCGTGGGGTCATGTGACCTTGTGTTAGGCTGACCCCGTTTCCAAAGAGCGCTCTGTTTCTGTGTGCTGTCAACAGGACAGAGCTGTGGGTAGAACCTTCTGGGAGTTCAGACAGGACTGTTTATCACCAACCACTTCTTTAATAGTCAACAGAAGCACATAGCCACGGTCATGCTGCCACTCAAGCCAGGTCCTGATTCTACGGTTATTGGACTGCACTTCAGGTGGATGGATGGTGGAGGAGAATGCCCTACTGATTTAGCAGTAACATAGAGTTTACTGACCAACTGACACAAACCTCAACTGAAATGTGCTTTTAATGAAATGTGTGAATACCTTCATTTAGGATGGCATAGACCTATTTATTCTAATTTGGGGTTTTATACATGCCGGTGTACAGCTTATAAATAGGGTTGTCATACCGAGTGTGTGTGTGGAATGTTGAAGATTGAATGTTCTTGACTTGATTCAGAGGAGACAGGAAAGGGAAGTTTGCACGTACTGGCACCAAGGGTGGACTTCACTTCCCTTAGCTCCATTTCCTCAAAGTTCAAAAGGGGACAATTCATTTGGTCTACCTCAAAATGAATGCACTGGTAAAACTTCTGTAGCCAAGTGCCAACCTCGAGTGTGAACTACTATGTTTGTGTACGCTCTAACTGTTGTAACCCTGTTTCCTAAATGTATTTGTGTCCCATGTAAATGCTCTCCTTGTGGTGTTTGCCATGTAAATATGTGTGTGTGTGTGTCAGCTCACCTGTCTGTGTGTGTGTGGGCCGTCCAGTAGGGATGTCTGTGGGATTGTTGGTGAGCTCAGTGTTGGCCCCAGTCTCCGCTTCCCTCTCACCAGCTGACTCCTCCTCTGATGACTCACTGAGGGGAAAAATGTTATAAACAATATTAAGTAGATTCCCAGTCCTGTCCTGTTGAACTCTGCTGCCACGTCTAAGATGGATGGAGGAAGCCTTTCAGTGTGTCAGAGGCTAACGTCCCCAAGAATCCATCTTGTAAACTGACAGCAAATTGTCTCTAAACCTATTTACATTACTGGCATGACAAAGTGTAAGGACTGTTTTTTTGTCATCTTTGTGTGATATAAGTAGGTCAAATATCTCTGTAAGCTGTCATTTAAAGGGATACACTATAAATACAAAAGTATGTGGACACCCCTTCCAATTAGTGGATTCGGCTATTTGAGCTGACTGTGAGCCAGGCCTAATCGCCCAACATCAGTGCCCAACCTCACTAATGCTCGTGGCTGAATGGAAGCAAGTCTGCAGCAATGTTCCAAAAATCTAGTGGAAAGCCTTCCCAGAAGACCAACTCCATAGTTAATGCCCATGATTTTGGAATGAGATGTTCGACGTACAGGTGTCCACATACTTTTAGTCATGTAGTGTATTTCGAGCTATTGGCAATGAGGCCCTTTATCTACTTCCCCAGTATCAGACGAACTTGTGGATACCATTTTTATGTCTCTGCTTTCAGTATGAAGACAGACTCTGGGGAAGTAGATAAAGGTCCTCATTGCCAAAATCCCGAAGTATCCCTTTAATGTGGGAGTATTATTAAGACCGTGACAGGGTGCAGGTCATCGTTATTCCTGTGTGACGAGAGCCTTTCGATCAACAGTCTAAACATGAGTCACGCCATCGGACCAGAGAATGGTTTCAGGCCAGGTACATACTTGGCTGTGGAATCCATAGTGACATCATCCAGTGAGGCGATGCTGTCCCCGGTGCCACAGGATGACTGCAAGTTGCTGTCGTCCCTGGGTGGGTCCATCACCACGGCTGTGGACATGGCAGCGGGCTCACACACGATCACTGGGGGGGATAGAGATAGGGGACATGGTAAGAAACAGCATGACTCATTCACACAACATGACACACGCAAATCTTGGGGCTGCGTTTGAGAGAGTGACAAATGTGACACAAAGAGCACTTCCTTACAGTAGCACCTGCTTCTTGGCCACACAGTGGAACTGTCAGTAGCATGTGACAGCCAAACGGCACACAAGACTCCCACCACTGTGCTGTCACAGGGTCATGCTCTGGTCTCCGGATAAACATAACACATGGTCTCAGAGTCATTACACTTCTTGAAGATCACTCAGAGAAGCTAAATTGTTTTGACTACCAAATGCTTTTATGGACATCTTTTTACAGCAGTCTTTCACAAGGCCTGACAAAATGGCAACAGTATGTATCGACAGGACTCAAAATGTACATAGATCCAAGAGCTCCTGTAGACTGAACTGTGCTTTTGTCCCCATAAATCACTGTTTTTGAACAATGAGGCGTCCGTTTAAGTAACTTCTTTCAGCCAAAACAAATGAACCATGTTTATTCAGTGTGGTCCTTTCCCAAATCAGCGGAAGCCTAAATGAACATTTAGGCCTAATCGTGTTATGAAACCCCCTTTCAGAGATATAAAGCCATGTGGACACATGACGACAGGCGGGACAGCAGAGGTTGCATAAGATGGACTCATTTGGGTTGGCTGGTTCATCTCATCCTCTGGTTATTGAAATTCAATGGCTCCATCTGTGTGAAAGACACACAGACCCAACCAGAGCACAGTTCGGCCCCTGTTGATGATCCGTTTGTTCCATCGTGGGCAGTTACCCAACATGGCACAGGAAACACGTCAGCGCGCTAAAACAATAACCACGACTGCCCCACTAACACGTAACTTCAGCCCACTCTCCACCAGACTCGGCCCCCTTGTTGGAAAGCCAACACCGGCCGGGCTCCTGTTTGTCTAGGCCTGGCTCGGTGCATTGAAACCACATACCAGTGGCCCTTTCAGGCCTATTGTGGAATGGGCAATCATAGTTCACCAGCTGAGGACAACTGAGCAGGGGCGGGAGGAAAGAAAACAGCCACCATGGGGGTCAGAGCAGGAACACAAATATTCCCCTGAGCCAGGGCCAGGGTGCAGCCAGACCTCATTAAAACCCAGTCAATTTTATCACCTAGTGTTGAGTGGTTGGTCGTAACAATTTTGAAACGGCTACAAATGTAGGAGGAAAAACCCTCACACTCAAAACCAATTTGCTGATTTATGGTTCATTCATTGGCCGTAGCTCAGCAGATCGATAGATTCTACCTCCCTGCTCCCTCCCTCAGAGGCACTGCTGTTAACCTTGACAGACTTCACCTCATCATTACCCATTCCTGCAGAGCCGGTGAGCTCACCGCTTACACCACAAACCCCCTACAATAGCTACCCTTTTACGCTCTTCCTCCTTCCACAGAGCAGCTGCAGATTCACCATGCTCACACACACTCGGACAGCTGTGGCCAGGGTTCACGCTGCATGGCTGTAATGTATTCTAGTGTGGGAGTTGTATTGTGAGTTGTCCCTGGGGGTTGGGAGGGGGCCGACATGCCTGCATTGGGGGTGGGTGCTATAGCCTACAGCTCAGAAAAATGCTGGCTCACACGTCCAAACTATGTACCTTAATATTCTCTCTCGACCAAGGCTGTGTATTTACCTTCACAATACGCTCACCAATACAAGTCAGACCAGGGGGTAAAAAAAAATCAATCAAGGTACTTCCTTGTTGTTCCTTCTCTCCTGTTGATTAAGCCCGGAATGCGGTCACCGCCCGACCCCTAGTCCCCAGAGGAGCAGTTCATTGTAATGCCTGTTGTACAACCCTGCCGATGGCCTGCCAGGGAGATACCCAGTGAGCCTTAAGGGAATCGGCTCAGATGGATTTAGCATTGCGCACAGTTTCATCCCGATAGCAACTGACCGCTGCGTTGCACACAATTAAGAGAGGATTAGGTCCCAAACAGTATGTCCTGTACACATAACCGCCACATGATGTCCATTAAAAAAACAGATTGCAAGTAGAGGCTTTTCTTGCAAACTGCTCTAATAGCAACATCAAATACATTTTCAGAAACCAGCATTAACTACAACCTAAACAAATCCTGCCCAAAACTGGGCGTCTCCAAACCCAAGCAGGGGTTCCCCTCTCCCCACACCCAGCATTTAAATACCCCAACTGTAGATCATTTTAGATGCAAAGAAATCACTTGCTACATTCATCTCTTTCTGTCCCTGTACATGTCTCTATCCCAGATGGCAATCTCACCCATTTTTTACATTTACATTTTAGTCATTTAGCAGACGCTCTTATCCAGAGCGACTTACAGATAGTGAGTACATACATTTTCATACTGGCCCCCCGTGGGAATCGAACCCACAACCCTGGCGTTGCAAACGCCATGCTCTACCAACTGAGCTACACGGGACCTTCTGCCTGGAGTTGTTTCCAAGGCTGCTAACCCACTGGGGTGAATCAAGTTTCCATCCATCCACCCAGCAGCTGTTTCTGGCCCCACTAATGCAGTTAAAACTGAGACTTCTCTCTGCCTCGCCCTATCCTGTCTGAGCAGCTGTACATAGAGGGCTGGATGCTCCACCCCAGCCAGCGCATATCTGCTGTCGACATGGGCTAGTGAGGTGGATGAACCAGTACCACATATCAGCCTTTAGAGCTGTGGTACATGAGCTTTTCTGAATTCAATAACATAACTTCAATGTAAGAACTAAACCAAATTCAAACGTGGAACACACAGAGGGATTCAAATTTAAATTTTAAAAATGTATTTTACGTAAGGTACACAGAAACCATCAGTCACATCCTAAAGAAAATGCCACCATGCTAGAGAAATGCCTTCCCACAAGCCAAAGCCAGAAGATTAGGGTTATAAAGATGTATCATAAGTAACAATCAATGTAAACTGTTGCTGGTTGACTTTCAGATCTAGCCTACACAAGTGAAAGGGATACTCCCTCATCACAACGTCTGAATGTATATCTAATTCTAAATCAATGCATAAGGACTTACAGTGCATCCTTGGAAGCAAACTCTTTAGATTCCTTGTTTCAGTTCTGGTTGCCGGTTCTCTGGACTGCTACGGTCTGCTTAAGCACGCTCTATTCAGTCAGCGGCTAGACCCAAAATATGCTGGCCTCAGTCTACTCTGTGTAACACAACATTCATTTTCAAACTACTGGTTTGTCCCTCCTCCGAAACCCCACCCTTTCCTGCAGACATCCTTATACACTTCCCCCACTAGGATGCCAACACTACAGCCCTTCTCATTGGCTGAAACGGCTCACACCACAAGACTCGTCCCCCATATATGGTCATGTCAGCCAAATGAATGCAAGAGGGTGGGGATGGGTGGAATACACTCCCCCCCTTCTCTTCTCTTGGATGATGCTGTGAGGCCCCCACCCAACCCATCCCCCTTACACACTTCCGCAACATACACAAACACACAACGCAGATATGCCGGTTGAGGTTACTACAGGACAAGGAAGAGGCGTTCCTCAGGCCAGTTTGTTATAGCTACTGTATATAGCAGCTGTGCTTTAATGACTTTCCAGAGATAACCTTGCCAACATTGTCAGGCGGACATCTGTATCCTGCTGACCTATATACTGTAGGCTACATCAAATAAACATCCAGGACTATTGGATCATATTGTCTTCTATCAGTCCCATTCATTTATTCGTAGTTATTATATACAGTGCATTCGGAAAGTATTCAGACCCCTTGACTTTTTCCACATTGTTACGTTACAGCCTTATTCTAAAATGGATGAAATAGCCCCCCCCATCAATCTACACACAATCCCCCATAATGACAAAGCAAAAACAGGTTTAGACATTTTTGCAAGTGTATTACCAATAAAAACTGAAATATTACATTTTCAGACCCTTTACTCAGTACTTTGTTGAAGCACCTTTGGCAGCGATTACAGCCTCGAGTCTTCTTGGGTATGACGCTTCAATCTTGGCACACCTGTATTTGGGAAGTTTCTCCCATTCTGCTCTGCAGATCCATGGGTTATTTTGGCTTAACAATTTTGCTAATCTAATTTTCATTTTGCTTTGCATGTATAACGCTCATTTAAAAAAAAAATACAAAAAAAGATAACTCATCATCAGCATACTGCATCGCAAGCTCTTATTATGAACTGAATGACATTTTTGGCCAAATCTTTCTGTAATTACACAAAGATATATGGTTCTTAATTTTTTTTCAAGATTCGAGGCTGTAATCGCTGCCAAAGATGCTTCAACAAAGTACTGAGTAAAGGGTCTGAATACTTATTTTAATGTCATATTTCAATTTTTTATACATTTGTAAAACTGATTAAAAACCTGTTTTTGCTTTGTCATTATGGGGTATTGTGTGTAGATTGATGAGGGAAAAAACGATTTAATTAATTTTAGAATAAGGCTGTTACGTAACAAAATGTTAAAAAAGTCAAGGGGTCTGAATACTTTCCAAATGCACTTTATATGATGGTATGTATAGACATTGTGGACAGCAATAGTTGAATAGGATGGCCTTGACTAGAATACAGTATATACACATATGAAATGGGTAAAACCGTATGTAAACATTATTAAAGTGACCAGTGTTCCAGGTCTATGTACGTAGGGTAGCAGCCTCTAAGGTGTAGTAACCGGGTGGTAGCCGGCTAGTGACAGTGACAGTTCAGGGCAGGGCACTGGGTGGAGGCCGACGGGTGATGGCTATTTAACAATCTGAAGGCCTTGAGATAGAATCTGTTTTTCAGTCTCTCGGTCCCAGCGTTGATGCACCTGTACTGACCTCACCTTCTGGATGATAGCGGAGTGAACAGGCCGTGGTTTGGGTGGATGAGGTCCTTGATGATGTTCTTGGCCTTCCTGTGACACCGGGTGCTGTAGATGTCCTGAAGGGCAGGCAATGTGTTCCCGGTGATGCGTTGGGCGGACCACACCACCCTCTGGAGAGCCCTGAGGTTGCGGACGGTGCAGTTGTCGTACCAGACGGTGATAGAGCCTGACAGGATGCTCTCAATAGTGCATCTGTAAAACTTTGTGAGGGTTTTTGGGGCCATGGCAAATTTCTTCAGCCTCCTGAGGTTGAAGAGGCGCTGTTGTGCCTTCTTCACTACACCGTCTGTGTGGGTGGACCATTTCAGATTATCAGTGATGTGTACGCCGAGGAACTTGAAGCTTTTCACCTTCACTGCGGCCCCGTAGATGTGGATTGGGGCGTGCTCGCTCTGCTGCCTCCTTAAGTCCACAATCAGCTCCTTCGTTTTGTTGACGTTAATTTCCTGGCACCACTTTCCCACTGTTGTGTTGTCTGCCAACTTGATTATTACAGGGGCCCCACAACACAGGGGCCCCACGCAGTCATGGGTGAACAGGGAGTACAGGAGGGGGCTGAGCATGCACCGTTGTGGGGCCCCTGTGTTATTGCCTACCACCACCTGGGGGCAGCCCGTCAGGAAGTCCAGGACCACAGGGCGGGGTTCAGACCCAGGGCCCTGAGCTTAAGGATGAGCTTGGAGGGTCCCATGGTGTTGAAGGCTGAGCTGTAGTCAATGAACAGCATTCTTACATAGGTATTGCTCTTGTCCAGATGGGAAAGGGCAGTGTGCAGTGCGATGGCGATTGCATCATCCGTGGATCTGTTGGGGCGGTATGAGAATTGCAGTGGGTCTAGGGTATTGGGTAAGGTGAGGTGATATGATTATTTATTTATGTTATTTTACCCCTTTTTCCTCCCCAATTTCGTGGTATCCAATTGGTAGTTACAGTCTTGTCCCATCGCTGCAACTCGCATACGGACTCTGGAGAGGCGAAGGTCGAGAGCCGTGCGTCCTCCGAAACACAACCCAGCCGCACTGCTTCTTGACACAATTCCCACTTAACCCGTGTCGGAGGAAAGACGTACACCTGGCGACCGTGTCAGCGTGCACCTGGCCCACCACAGGATTCGCTATTGCACGATGGGCTAAAGAATACCCCTGCCGGCCAAATCCTCCCCTAACCTGGACGACGCTGGGCAAATTGTGCGCCGCCCGATGAGTCTCCCGGTCACGGCCGGCTGTGACAGAGCCTGGACTCGAACCAGGATCTCTACTGGCACAGCCTTAGACCACTGCGCCACTCGGGAGGCCCATGTGATATGATCTTTAACAAGTCTCTCAAAGCACTTCATGATGACAGAAGTGAGTGCTACGATAGTCATTTTGTTCAGTTACCTTCGCTTTCTTGGGTACAGGAACAATGGTGGACATCTTGAAGCAAGTGGGGACAGCAGACCGGGATAGGGAGAGATTGAATAGGTCCGTAAACACTCCAGCCAGCTGGTCTGCGCATGCTCTGAGGACGCGACTAAGGATGCCGTCTGGGCCGGCAGCCTTGTGAGGGTTAACACGTTTAAATTGTTTTACTCATGTCGGCAACGGAGAACGAGAGCTCACAGTCCTCGGGAGCGGCCTGTGTCGGCGGCACTGTGTTATCCTCAAAGCGGGCGAAGAAGTTGTTTAGCTTGTCCGGGAGCAAGATGTCGGTGTCCGTAACGTGGCTGGTTTTCCCTTTGCAATCCGTGATTGTCTGGAGTCCCTGCAACATAAGTCTTGTGTCGGAGCTGTTGAATTGTGACTGTCTCTGTACTGACGTTTTGCCTGTCTGATTGCCATACGGAGGGCATAACTGGACTGCTTGTATTCGTTCATATTCCCAGTCACCTTGCCTTGGTTAAATGTGGTGGTTTGCGCGAATGCTGCCATCTAACCACGGTTTTTAGTTTGGATAGGTTTTAAATCGTCACAGTGGGAACAACATCCCCTATACATTTCCTGATGAACTCAGTCACCGTGTCAATGTATACGTCAATGTTATTCTCAGAGGCAACCCGGAACATGTCCCAGTCCGCGTGATCAAAACAGTCTTGAAGCATGGATTCCGATTGGTCAAACCAGCGTTGAATAGACCTTAGCACGGGTACTTCCTGTTTGAGTTTCTGCCTATGGGAAGGGAGGAGCAAAATGGAGCCGTGATCTAATTTGACGAAGGGAGGGCGTTGTAGCCATCCCGGAAGGAAGATTAACAATGGTCAAGAGTTTTTGAAGCGCGAGTACTGCAGGCGATGTTTTATCAACACATTGGTAGCATTTTCCTTAGATTTGCTTTATTAAAGTCCCCAGCTACAATAAATGTGGCCTTAGTATATGCGGTTTCCAGTTTACACAATGTCCAGTGTAGTTCCTTAAGAGCCGTAGTGGTATCGGCTTGAGGGGAAATATACACGCCTGTGACGATAACCGAAGAAGATTCTCTAGGGATGTAATGCGATCGGAATTTGATAGTGAGGTATTCTAGGTCGGGTGAACAAAAGGACTTGAGATCCTGTACGTTACCACAGTCAAACTGTGAGTAGTTAATCATGAAACATACACCTCTGCCTTTCTTCTTCCCGGATAATTCTTTATTCCTATCCGCACGATGTGCCGAGAACCCAGCTGGCTCTATCGACAGGGACAGTATATCCGGAGAGAGCCATGATTCCGTGAAACAGAGTATGTCTCTCTGGAAGGAGATCCACGCTCTGAGCTCGTCTACCTTATTGCCCAAGGACTGAACATTAGCGAGTAATATACTTGGAAGTGGTGGATGGTGTGCAAGCCTCCTGAGTCTGACTAAAAGTCCACTCCAAATACCTCTTCTCCGCCGGCAGCGTTTTGGAGCAGCCTCTGGGATAAGTTCAATCGGAAGAGTTGGGTACGAACAAAGGATCCAATTCAGGAAAGTTGTATTCCTTGTCGAAATGCTGGTGAGTTACTGCCTCTCTGATATCCAAAAGTTATTTCCGGCTGTATGTAATAATGCTAAGAATGTTCTGGGCTTATAATGTGAGAAATAACAAAAATATATATATACATACTGCAAAGTTGCTTAGAAGCGAGAAACAAGGCGGCCATGTCTATCGGCGCCATCTTTATATAAAGTTGATCAACATTTAAAGCAGCATTACTTACCCATGTTTCCTCCAACTGCAGTGTATGATATGCCATTTTGAAGCTCTGAGTCTGTACTTTTATCCAATGTAAAATCACCATTTGAAATTTTTGGAACATAAGACGGAAGGTCACAAATATTCTTGCTTATAAAACTCATGTAGACTAGTCTATCCGCACTGTATCTGTGAGCTGTTGGCTAGAGCGCGCG